AATTCTCCCAGATCAATCTCTCTCACACACACTCAGGCCTTGGATTGCAGGGCGCTGCTTTCCCACATTCCTCAAGGCTCGACGGGTTTCCCCAGTTCCGGATTCCAAGTTTGAAAGAGAGGTGTGAAGTTTCAAACAACCCCAAAAAAACCCCACATATTGTGCCACTTGGACTGCAGTGAAGTTAATTTCCAGTCCGCCCCAGAGTCAATGGCAGTAGAGTCAATTTCAGGGCAGGGTATGGTCGAAAATGTCAAGATGGCGGCCACAGGGTGGTAATTTTTTTAGTGGGCGGAGCTTCACTCGCACCCTGCGGCCACCATCTTGACTTTTTTGGCTGTATCTTGGGGTCATCGCTGCACAGATTTGACGTTAGGAGCTATACGTTATGCACTCCTCACATAAAAGGAAAGACAACCCAGAGTAGATAAAAGACACCATTCACATGCTGAAGCCTTTTGGCTTCCCTCTAATTCTGCCACATTTCTGGTGTTGGGAATTTTGGTGTTGCACTCTTGAGATTCACCAAATAAAGAGCTTCTCAAAGAACTTTGGAAAATAATTAATCCTCTTTCTCTACCCGACTCACCCTTCTAATCACCCTCGACTTAACTGGCTTCGTGGCCTAAGAGAATGGCTGATTCAAAGTCATTAAAATTCACTGTTAATCCAATGCCTGAACTATTAGTCCAAGGGGACTCTTTGCTTCAAATATATGATTCCTGATTTGAAGTATTTTCTGATTCTCAGTTTCAATTTTTTTATTCTTGATTTCATGAATCTGTCTTATCTTTCTTGATTTCAAATATTTTCCGATTCTCTCAATTTCAAATGTTTTCTGATCCCTGAGTTCAAGTAGTTCCTGATTCTCCCAATTTTGAATATTTTCTAATTCCTGATTGTGAATATTTTCTGATTCTTGTTTTCAAATATTTTCTGATTCCTGATTGTGAATATTTTCTGATTCTTGTTTTCAAATATTTTCTGATTCCCGATTTTGAATATTTTCTGATTCTTGATTTCAAATAGTTCTCGATCCTCTCTTCCTCAACTTTATTTTGGTTTCCCCCTAACTTCAGCCTTGCCAAGTTGTTCCTCTTTTTTTCTTGCTAGGGTTTGGAAAGCCCAGGAAAATTCCATTGATTTATAGTTTGTTTTTGGCTTTTTTTGGTTTTTGCAGAAATGAGGTTTGCATCTGGCAATAAGGCCTGGTGTAACCATGCTTGATGGACTGGGTTGCAATTGCCATGTGAACACCACCTAAGCCCTAAATCGTGGCTTATAAACCTCAGTGAGTTCATGACAACATGCTTGGCCTAAACAAGAAGAGTACAACTTTGACCACTTTAAGACTTATGGACTTCAACTCAGGGCTGGCTGGGGAATTCTGGGAGTTGAAGTCCACAAGTCTTAAAGTGGCCAAGGTTGGACAACCCTAGGCTAAGCCAGGTAACAGCTGGACTTCACACTGTGGGACATCTTGAATTTTTTGTTAAGAAGGCTCTTTGGGGAGCTGAAAATTCACGCATCGGTTTCTTTAAAACCTCCTGAGTTTCTCGTGTTACTACCGAGGGCTTTGGACCTCTGAGAATTCAGGGTCTCTTGAGAGAAAAAGCTAACAGTGTTTTGAGCCTGGGAAATTGGCTTTCTTCTCGGCCTCCAGACAGGAAATGCTCTCCATTCTGGAAAAAAACCAGAGCATTATCTTAGCACAGAAAGGGACTCCCTACTTGGATCCTGGCCATTTTCATCCCAAGCCAACTCCCTAGCGTAACTTTTGGGGACGAAATCTGCAAATATCTCCTGCTCTGTAATTTCACGTCCTTGCCTCGTTCCTGCTCAACACTCAGCAATGGATCACGACTTGCTGTGGCGGGGATGTCCTTTGCGGGTCTCTTGCAAAGGAAACAGTTTGAGAGGACTTAAAAATCAAGACTTACACTCAGCTCCTTTGGATCCTAAGCAAAATGAGGCCAAATTCTGCAAATTTGGCTGATTGAGGCATTCTTCACCTGGATGTTTTGTACCCTACCAGAGAAAGGCAGTTGGTCACCTGTGTTCCAGTAGGCACCCTTTGCTACTTTTTCTGCCACAAGGACTAGAAGCTTCCCTTTTTCAAACCAAGGAAAACTAAACAGTTGACCACCTGTGTTCCAGTAGGCACCCCTTGCTACTTTTCCTGCCACAAGGATTAGAAGCTTCTCTTTTTCAAATGAGAGAAATCGAGACTAACTCTCAGTACACTTTCCTTATTTAATTTTTTTAAATACCAGAATGCCAGCAAGCCTAAACCCGCCGGTTATTCAGCAAAGAAATGAAAAGGGGAAAAAAATGTGTACACCGATGGGAAGTTTCGAAGCCGGTGGCTCACAAAAGTCTTGGGTTTGAGCAAAAGAAGTGCCAGGAAGCCAACCGAGAGCTAAAAAGCAGCGAGGTGCAAGCTTTCTAACTATAAATACGGCTGCAGCCTGTCTCCAATTCTCTGAATAGCCCAGGGTGGTTTTCAAGAGAAATGACATCATGGCTAAGGGGCCGATGTGTTTCTCGATAAACTCAGAGTCGCTCTCCATCCGCAGACAGTGGGCCTTTTTAAAATCCACCCCGCCCTCCCCTCCCCAGCCTTCTTTTCTCAGAAAGCCATGTTTTCCTTGCCAAGAATGTAGGCGACTGGCAACTCATTGGGTGGCTGGTGCAGCTAGAGAACAACCTGGCCCAGGAGGGGGGAGAGGGGGGGGGAGAAAGAGAGAATTTGGCACTCCTTTGCAAGCTAGAGAAAGCTGCAAACTTAAAGATGATCAGGGGCCTGGAGGCTAAAACATATGAAGAAAGGTTGCAGGAATTGGGTATGTCTAGCTTAATGGGGGGGGGGGGAAGAACTACCGTAGGGGTGACAGGATAGCAGTCTTCCAGTATTTGAGGGGCTGCCACAGAAAAGAGGGGGTCCACCTCTTCTCCAAAGCACCTGAAGGCAGGACAAGATGCAATGGATGGAAACTAATCAAGGAGAGAAGCAACCTAAAGACTAAGGAGGAATTTCCTGACAGAACAATTAACCGGTGGAATGGCTTGTGATTGTGAGTGCTCCATCACTGGAGGCCTTTAAGAAGAAACTGGACAGCCACTTGTCCAAAATGGTCTAGGTTCTCCTGCTTGAGCAGGGGGGTGGACTAGAAGACCTTCAAGGTCCCTTCCAACTCTGTTATTCTATTGTGTTCTGTTTTGAAAATAACATAGGAATGCAATCTGCAGACCCCCATCTCATAGCGAGGGCTGCCCTGAAAGGGTCTTCTGGCTGAGCTTTGCAAAGACCAGACTCCCCTCCCCTCATTTTAGGACGATGGGGTGGGATTCTAGGAGGGCTGACTTAATTCGGTTGATGGAAAAGGTGGTGTCCATCCACCATGCAGTTCAGAGTGGGGTGCTGTAGCCATTGCTCAGATGGGACTCCCATCTGGACAAAAATAGCTTTGGGTTCTCCTCGCCTCCCCCACTAGCTGTGGGGAATGACAGGATCAAGATGTCAACCCTGCAAGGTAGAGCAGACCAAGAATGGGACCTTGTAAGATGGCTGAGGCCAGCCTGATGGAGACTGGCTGTGATAACTCAAATTTTGCAAGTCTAACTGTGCTTTCCCCTCCTAATACTGGTAGGTGTCTGCTTAAGCCACTTCCAAATGTTGTCTGGTTGTTTTCGACCTAAAAAATGTTTAAGAAACAGGTTTTGCGTGTTTCCATCAAGGTCACATTTGTTCTAGCTGCCTTATCACCTTCACCAACAAGGTTTACCCCCAGCTTCTATGGCTCACTTATTTTAGAACAGGTAGCCCTCAACTAACGGCTTCAAGGTTACGATGGTGTTGGAAAAAAGCAACTTATGACCGGTCCTCATACTTATGACCACTAGTGTCCCTGCAATCCTGTGATCAAAATTTGGACACTTGGCAACCAACCTATATTTATGGTGATTGCAGGGTCCCGTGGTTGCCGTTAGCAATCATGAGGAGGGGGAGGAGGATGCATTAGCCCCCAAGGTTGCTGAACGTGCTGATCTAAATCTCTCCTGGCCCACCTCGCAGGGTTGTTGTAGGGAAAAAAGGGAAGGGTTATTAGATATGTTCACTGCCTTGCGTTATTGATACAAAGACAATAAAGGTGGGATACAAATAAATAACATAATAGTAAATAAATGTTCTTGTAGCTTCTGGATAGTTTGATCCCTGTTTCTCTCCATCTTTCCATCACCCTCCCTGCTCTCTTCCACCTCCTTCCCCTTGCTTTTCTTCGTCCTCCTTTTCTTCCTTGTCCCTTCTTTTTCCTTCTCTTCCTCTTTTTTCCCTTCCCCCTCTTCCTTCCTTTTCTTCTCCTTCCTCCTCTCCATTTTCCCCTCCCCTCTTCCTTCTTCTTCTCCTTGCCGCACTTCCCCTCCACGTTCTTCCCTCCTCTCCTCCGCTTTTCCTTCTTCCTCTCGGTATTCTTCCCCCCTCTTTCCTTCTTCCTCTTCCTTCCACTTCTTCTCCTCCTCCTCCTCCTCGCCCCTCCCCTCTTCCTCTTCTCTCCGCACTTCCTCTCCGCATTCTTCCTCCTCCTCCTCCTCAGCCCCGCCTCCCCAGCAACCTCCCCGCCCCGCGGGCCCACGAATGGGATGCCGTTTCCCCAGGCGGGCGGGGGGGGGGCGTTGAGCAACCCCGGCGCCGGGAAGGGCTGGCCTCCCTTCCCTCCCCCCTCTTTGCTTTTGAGGAATCAGCGCTGCGAGGAAGGCTGGGCAGCAGATCCGCCCGCCTGGGCGGGGAAGAAGGGGAGGGGGGGGCAAGCCAGCGGGAGCGGATCCATCCATTTCCTAATCCTTGCCACCCCCACCCCCACCCCACCCCCCACCCCCACCCCACCCCCTCCACTTCTCAGCACACACTCACCCAGGGAGACTCCTCCTCCTCCTCCTCCCCCCTCCTCCTCCAGAAAGCAACAGTTCGAAGGAAAGTCTGCCCCCCCCCCGCCTCATTTCCTCCCAGTCCGGGAAACGAGCCCATCCGAATCGGGTGGGGGGGGGAGATTTGCGCTTTGAGCGAGCGGAGAAACTTCCTCCGGCCCCCCTCCCCGATTTTCTCTCTCTCTCTCTCTCTTGCCAGCGGAAAGGGTCCCCCCCCTCCTCTATTTTTCCTGCCTCCTCTTCTTCTTCTCCCCAGATTCCCCCCCCCCCCAATAGCTTGGCGTGCTGGGAGGGTGTGGAAGCGAGGAAGCCGTTTCCTGCAGCAATTGGGTGTTTTTTTTTATGATTATTATTATTTTAATTTTTAAACCAGACTTGTTGCCAATAGAAGGCAGGAGGAAAAAAAAAGGGGGGGGGTTCTCTTCTTCCCCTCCCCGCCCCACTCCCACGCCCACCGGCGATGCTCGATAGGTCCGGGCTGGCCCGGCCGAACCAGTGAGCGGGGTTTCGGCTGGTCGCCGCTGCTGGGCTTTCGCCTTGGCCTCGCTCTCTCGCCGCTCCGACCATCTTAATTCGGTTCCGCGGCCCTTCGCGGCCCTCCCCCTTTCGAGGGGAGCCGGCGGGACCCCTCCCCCTCCCTCCCTCCCCCCCTTCTCTCTCTCTCTCTCTCTCTCTCTCTCTCTCTCTTTTCCTCTTTTCCCCTGGCTCTTTTTCAAGCGCTCTATCCCCAAGCTGGCAAAGATGCGCGGCTCTGGCTTAGCGCGGAGGGCAGTTCTTTGCCGCTGACCCCCCTGCTTGCTCTGCCCCCCCCACCATTATTTAAGAAAAGAAAAGAGGGGGGGAGCCGAGAGAGGGGCCGGAGAAAGCTTGAAGGCGGACAGAGAGAGAGGGGGGGGCGAGGCTGGCGACTTTGGCAAACTTGCGCCTCTTCTCCGGACTGGCAGGAGCATGGCCGCGCAGCTGACTCCCGAGGAGGAGCAGGTAAGAGGGGGAGACCCCCACGCCCCCCCCCCAATATATATATATACGTTGGAGGAAGAGGGGATGGAAGAGCAAGCCGAGGGCCGCCCGGGCAGGATCGTAGCAATGACGTTGGCTTGGAGGGCTGAATTGTGTATTATTTTTTTGCGATCCGAATTGGGGGTGAAAAGGGAGGGAGGGAGGGAGGGAGGGGGGGGGGTCTCGCTGGAGATGCAGAGGCCGAGCCCGTTCAGGCCTGGCCTTTCCTCCCCCCCCCCTTCTCTCTCTCGTGCCTTGTCCCCCCCCCCCCCAATGACACCCCTTCATCCCTGGAGCGAAAAGGTGATGATGAGCGGAAGTGCAAAAGGCCAGCGATCCTCCCGGGCCGGGTCCGGTTTGGGGGTTCGAAGGCAAAGCTTGGGTGGGGGGGGGGGCTGCCTGCCTGCTTTCCTGGGAAGTAGACCCCCCCCTTTTTTCCCTTCCCCACCCCACCCCAATATGCATCGTCTCCTTACTTTGTACCCCCCCCCTGTAAGTCCTCGCCTTAGCGGGGGTGAGTAAAGTCCAGAATCCGGGGCCGCCTCCTCTTTGTGGGGGGGGGGAGTCTGGGCCCTGAAGGGTACAGCTGCCCCCCCCCCTCGCCTTTGATGAACTCCCCCCCCTTCCGCCAGATCAGTGGAAGGGGGAGTACAGAGGTATCCCGGGGTGATGTTTCCATGGAAGTCAGAGATTTGGGGGGAGGGGGGGTGAAAGCTGAAATGCAGGCGAATCGGGCCCAGAGAGGGTGACTCTTTCCCTTGCAAAGGGGGTGCAGACTCCCCTCCTCTGTGCTAGCATCCCATTTTGACCCACCCTCCCCAACCAGCAAGGATGCAAACCCCCATCCCGGCTCCCTCTTCTTATTCCAAAAACCAAGGAAATTTCTGACCGGGCCTGGGTGGGGGGAGGTTATAAAGGTAACCCCCCCCTTTTTTCTGCATAAAGAGAGAGCATGGGGAGGGAAGTAGCACTCTCCCGCTGAGAGTTGGGGGAGCAAGAGATCCAGTTGTCCCCCCCCCCCCGTTTTTCTTAAACGTGTCTCTGAAATCTTGGACTCTCTTGAATGAATTCTTTTTTTTCCCTCTCTCTCTCCCCCCCCCCAGGGTTGGTATGTTTGCGGGGGGGGGGGAGCGGATATTTGACTCCATTTTTTTCCCCATGTAAAAAAAAAGGATTAGGGAGAGGATGTGAAACACAAACATGTAATAACCCCCTGGATTCACGTCTTTTAATGTTTAAGGAAGTGAGGCGGGAGGGCGGAGAAGTTCAAAGCCACCCTGCCCTTCTGGGTGCCACTTAACTCGATCCTCTTTTAATTCCCCCTTTTTAAAAATCCCTTTTCCCAATCCTGTAACTGGAGAGTGAGGAGGAAGGCCGAAGAACGAAAGAAAAAGAAAGTATATACGTAATGGAAGGAAACTGGTTTTTGGTTTTTCTATCTAGAGACTCCCAGTGGCGGGGGGGGGGGTTGTCCGTAAGAAATCTGCGTAGCTTTAAGCATCCTTGCTTTAATTTTAGAGCCTGCTCATGGGGTAGATATGTTTCCTAAATGTTTACAAAATGCAATTCTTTGGGAGCCAAAAAGTGCTATTGTTGGGGAGCTGGCTGAGGACTTCTGGGAAATGAAGTCTCCTCATTCATGCCAAGGTTGAGAAACACTGAATATATACATTATATTAATTCCAACACTATGACTCTTTGCCAACCCTATTTAGCAGCATTATGCTACATTATCAGTGTTTTTTTTCTTCCTAAAAACATTGCCCTGGCTGGCAAAAGAAGAAAGGAAAAAAATATCTGAATTTCTCAGCCTTTATTTCAATTGTTTTGGAGAAGAGTTACGCCTGGATAGCTGCGCCTCTTACATTCCTGCCTTTTCTAGTGCGTGCATGTTCCCCCCCCCCCGTTGACTGTAAAGGCAAACGTGTTGCGAAGTTTTCAGCTTGTGTAATTTTCCACTTCTGCATCTCCAAGGCTGAGGAAATGGGAAGGTGAACAAAACGGAATTATCCTTGTGCAAAAGGGGGGGAAGACTAGAACAGATGTAACAGAGTAACACAGTTGGAAGGGACCTTGGAGGTCTTCTAGTCCAACCCCCTTTAATTCTGACTCTCCCCCCCCCAGATATCTGGTTATGTATGTTTGTCTTCATTTTGACTTTTCTGGGTGTGCCACTGGGGAAGAAAGCTCCTTGTGAAACCCTAATAGATCCGGGGTGATAATGGAGAAGAGAAGCTGATAATTGAGAATAATGGAGGAGCTGAAAAGATAGTGAACTTGGCAAACGGGGTGAGAATAGCAGCTTTTTTTGGAGCTGCTGACTCTGAAACATGAAGCACAGTGCTGAGTCAGTTGGGCTTGGCCAAGTAGCTGGGTGTCCTGCAGTGAAGGTCTCCCCACACCACCCCATATCTGAACAGGTCAGGCTCCTCCAAAATGCTTTTCTAGACCTTCCAAATATTTGGGACTTCGTTGCAGATCAACTGTAGTATCACTAGCTAAGTCTAAAACAGGGGTTCTCAACCTTGGCAACTTTAAGACTTGTGGACTTCAACTCCCAGCAAAGCTGGCTGAGGAATTCTGAGAATTGAAGTCCACAAGTCTTAAAGTTGCCAAGGTTGAGAACCCTTGGTCTAAAAGCCAATGCGAAGTCAATCCTTATGGATCTCGTCTGGTGTAACTAGTCCTGATGAACGTTCTGAAAATCCTCTCGGCTCAAAGTCTTTATTGGACTTCCGGAGTCATCGGATTCAGCCTCAAAGGGAAGCTGTGGCACGATTCCCTATTTATGGAATTCCTAGAAGCTGTGGAACAACAGGTCAGTGGCTAATGGCCAGGATAGTCTTTCTGAGATTCCACTGTCCTTTGAAAGAGGGAAGGTCTTCAGATCAGGCTCATGGCCTCCTAGACATGACTGTGAGATTGGCTTGCCTTGGCTGTTGCGTTTTCCAAGGACATGTTGCCTCCCCAAAAAAATATTCCCTGGTGACCCCATCCAAGCATTAACTGTTTCTTATCCTCCTCTCTTGTTGAGTTCAGCCATTTTGAGAGTAGCAAAAGTCATCAATGAGTTTGTCAGCTTCCCCCCCCCCATCAGCGCATCATGAATGAGATTAGCCTCATTGATAACCTGACTCAGTTTGCAAGAGGACAGAGAGGTTTCTAATGAAATGTTCGAAGGCAGTTGGAACAGGGAATCCTGTTCGGGAAATGAACACAGGCTGTTCCCTGTGTAGCAACTCAGTCTGTGGGTTCCAGGGAAAAAAGGGTCTCATGCATAACGTGATTGTAGACGGGTGAAGATTTCAAGGTGTTTTTTTTTGGTATGATTTTAAAATGGAATATGATATTGGAGGAATATTGGGCTTAACGTTCCTTAACATCAACAAATTTAAGATGGGTGGACTTCAACTCCCAGAATTCCCCAGCCAGCCAATCAGATGTTGCCGGAATTCCAACATGACTTTGAATTTTGGGATTGAAGTCTATCCGTCTTAAAGCTGCAGAGATTGATTGATCCTTCATCCACAAATAGATTCTGCTTTCTAGGACAAAATAAATCAGGGATGACAACTCACTGACTTCCGGCTGTTCTGGCCTACAACCCCCATAATCCCTTGCCACTGAGTCACATTCCCGACATCCCGAGTGTCTGGAGAAGATTTAATTGGATTATGCTTGGAGTCCAGTCATTTACATGCAGATCTAGGAGAGCAATGCTGCAATACAGAGTAGAATAGATAAACCAGCAGTTACAGGGCTGACTAGCTTAAAATCAATTGGAATTCCTTGTAAGTTGCAAAGTTAGAGCCCTTAAATACGTTGCATAAGATATTTAGCATATTTTGTACCTCCATTCCTGTGCCTTTTTTCCTCTTTGGGGCCAAAATTCAGATACTCTAGGATGGAGAATTGCAAACAGTGGCCTTGCCGAATGAGATGTGTTACAGAGTTGAGTAATTGGAGACAATAGCATCCTCAGAAGTAATCGATTATAGATAATCCTCAACTTACAACAGTTCATTTAATGACCACTCAAAGTTACAACGGCACAAAAATGACATCACTATTGGTCACACGTATGATCTTTGCAGCATCTCCAGGATCACACAATTTACATTTGAATGCTTGACAATTGACTCATATTTATAACAATTGCAGTGGCCCAGGGAGGGGGGGTGTCATGTAAAAGGGGGCAAAAACTCACTTAACAAATTTCTCACTGGGCGACATAAATTCTGGGCGTCACGGTGAGCATAAGTATTATTTCAGCCGAGGCATTCATCTCCCAATGAAACCTGCACAGTCCTAACCTTAGGAATGCCTTCCCACTCGTACAGTATTTTTTTTTCCACTTGTCATGCTACAAAATGTCCCATCCAAATTTCCTAGAAACTCATCAAGGACATCTTTGTTTTGATTTGTGACGGCGGAGCACAACTTGAAACAGGAAGCTAATATTCAGGGTTGGCCTCGCTGCCTCCTCCTTTTTTAAAAAATAAAAATTCGCATTTTTGAAACGTAATTTTTTTTAAAAAAGACTCAACCTTTCTCTCTCTCTTTTTTTTAAAAAAAAAAATTCTCTCTGATCGCACTGAATTTTGCTGCCCAGATAGAAACATCTAAATCTGAATAAAAAGCTGATCAAATAAACTGCAACTTTTGCTGGCTTGGGAAAATCCTTTTATTTTTGAAACCATTTCCTGTCGTCCCAGATGAGTGACGTCATGCTTTTTCTCCCCCCCCCCTCCTTTTGTTGGGGACTCAACAAAAGGAAAATTGAGAAAGGATGGGAAGGATGTAGCAGCTTTTCACCTTGAAAAAGGAGATTACAAGCCACCCAGTTAGCGCCTGGGCTGCATTTAAAGAATTGAAAAGCTCAGAAGAGCCTTACGAAACAGCCTTTTCCTGGGTCCCTTTCAACAACTGATGTGAGCTTGTATGACATATTCCTTGTCTCCTGCTTTCGTGGAAAATAAATGGCTAGTTAATCATTGCTCAAAACCTGAATATTTCTTCTGAATATTCCCATTTTTTTTCCCCCTTGCTTGTCAGGGAAGCAGGTGATCCTTGACTTATGAACACAATTGAGCCCAGCATTTTTGTCATTGGTTAAGTGAATCTGGCCCCATTTTATGACCTTTCCTGCCCAGAGTTGTTAAGCGAATCACTGCAATTGTTCAATTAGTAACACAGTTTTTAAGTGAATCCGGGTTTCCCCACTGACTTTGCACGTCAGAAGGTTGCAAAACAAGGGATCCATTTTGGATTATGTGAGCCTGCTGCAACAGTCATAAGTGTGGAAAACAGCCGTAAGTCACTTTTTAAAGGCTTTTGTAACTTTGAAAGGTCACTAAATGAACTTGCGTAAGTCAAGGACTTACCTTTAGAGGTGCCTTGCGAAAATTGCATGCTTGACTTTCAGGTTGGCTTTCTGCAAGGGAGAGGAGGGTGTGTTGAATACAGGCAGTCCTGTATTCGCTTAGTGGCCATTGGAAGTTACAGCGGCACGGGAAAAAGTGACGGCCGTTTTTCACACTTAACGACCGTTGCAGCCTCCCCATGGTCACATGATCAAAATTCAGACGCCTGTCCACTGACTCACGTTTATGACAGTTGCCATGTCCCGGGGGGGGGGTGTAAAATGGGGCAAAACTCACTTAGCAACAAAAACTTTGGGCTCCGTTGTGGTTGTAAGTCGAGGTCTCCCTGTAATGGACCACACACACACATCACAGCTCTGTGACTAGGAGAGTAGCCAGTTTTGGAGGCTGCCAGCTGCACCCGGGTCTGAATTTGCAGCCTCTTCCTCAAGGACGTTGGGGCCAAAGCTTCGGCTTTATTGGAAAGGAAAGCACGCCAAAGTCCTTGCACAAACCCTGGTTAAAACCCTTGTTAAAGGAGGAGGAGGAGGAGGAGGAGGAGGAGGAGGAGGAGGAGGAGGAGGAGGCAAAACAGGATCTGCAGGCAGGATAGGGATCACTTCAATGTCACGCTGCTCTTCTCCCAGATCTGTTTGCTGTTTCACTTTAACCTTGTCCTCGTTCGTCCCGATGGAAGTTTAATATTTGCAGAACACGGGAAGCGGCTTGTCGGCCAGACAGGAGGGCTTTGATTAGGGCTTGAAGCATTCAGAAATGACAGACAGGCAACAGAGAGAACTTCTTGAGGAGATCGTTAACAGGAGAACAGGGCAATCAGAACAGGGGGCAAGCTGGGATTAATGGCCTTTTTGAAAGCTAAGGCCAGTTAAGAAGCTCTGTTGCAAAGGGCCTGGCTCTTTTCTCAGCTTTTGCTGCAAGGGACTAAGCGTGGCCCACGTTGAGAGGAAGAAGGGATAGGTAGATGATAGAGAGGGATAGATAGGTGGGGGGAGAGAGGGGGGGGAGGGAGGAATACAAACAGATGCTAGATAGATACATAGATAGCTAATACACAGGCATTTTTATTGATATTTAATTTCTATAGGCACTCAACTAAGTGACTAGGTAGGTAGGTAGGTAGGTAGGTAGGTAGGTAGGTAGGTAGGTAGGTAGATGATAGATAGATAGATAGATAGATAGATAGATAGATAGATAGATAGATAGATAGATAGATAGATAGGCGGGCGGGCGGATGAATAGAAAGATGGATAGAAAGATGGATAGATGGGTGAGTGGATAGATGGGTGGGTGAGAGGGTGAATAGAAAGATAGATGGATAGAAAGATGGGTGGATGGAAAGAAAGAAAGAAAGAAAGAAAGAAAGAAAGAAAGAAAGAAAGAAAGAAAGATGGAGAAAGAGGTGGGATAATAATAGATACAGATGATATAGAAAGAGATGACAGATATGGAGAAAGACGATAGAGAGATATAGATATGGAGAGAGAGGCTGAATGCTTTGCAGTTTGCTGGATTCTGCTCAGCCCAGCATCGCCCCAGCCTGGCTGCTCCCGGTGCCTTCAGAGCCCCGGTTTGAGCCCGCAAGAACATTAACAGGTCAGAAAGTGGCGCTAATGCTGTCCGCCGCCATCCCTGCCATGGCGAAGCCATTCGGGGCGAGGGGAGCGCAGGCCTCCTCTTTTCCATGAGTCACTCCTTCGAGATGTGTGTCCTTCCAGCGCAGGAGCTGTTTAAAAATGAACGGCCACACAGTTCTCCCTGAGGCCCCAAGCGAGGAGCTGACTCGACGTTTCCGTTCCAGAAATGGGTCCACAGGGAGCCCTGAACCCAATGAAGGATGGAGCCACTGAGCGAGTTTTTGGGCCTGAATTTCAGCTGAGCACTGGGATCCATTGGACCTTTGTTTGACTGACATCAGGAAGAGAGTGTAGGTCATCCTCAACTTATATCCACACAGCTGAGCCCGACATTTATGTTGCTAAGCAAGACGGCATGGCAGGCTGGGGGATTCTGGGAGTTGAAGTCCATTACATCTTAAAGCTGCCGAGTTCGGAGATCCCTGTTTTAGATCATCTTCAGTGAGGTCTCCAAAGCCGTCTCCAGGCAGTGAAGCAGGAGTACCAGCACAAGCCTCATACCGAAACTTCGTCCAGCCCTGATCGTGCCACCACAGAACTGTAGGCTTGGAAAGGGTCCCCAAAGGTCATCTAATCCAGCCCTTCTGCTTTCAGGCAATCCCTGTTTTCTTTTTTCTTTTTATTTTTTTTCCCCTTGAAGCATCCTTCCCTCTTTCCTGCCTCCGCATCTTGCAAGCAACTCCTTCCCCGTGACTCATCTCGTCCGACATTTTCATCTTCCCGTTGCTGGCGGCCGTTTTTTGTTTTAAACAGTAAAAGGCGTGATGGCTCAAAAATTGGGCTTTGGGAGCGGCTGACGTTTTTCCTAGGAATATCTAAACCAGAATTGCATCTGAAGGGGGAAGGGAAGGTGGCCAGAAGCGGTTCTGGGTGCTTCTCCTTACAACCATTCATGGCCCCAGTGACGATAGAGAATGCTCAACTTACGGCCTTTTGCAATAGTGGCGAATATCTGTAGCTCGGGTGTCGGATGAGGGTGACGTTTTGTTCTCCAAGCCTCCCACAAACTCTGAGAACAAACCTTCACCCTCACAGCCTCTTGTTTAGAGACCATTTGAAATTACAAGAAGTTACTTATGACCGTTTATTCACTCTTATGACCATTGCAGCATCCCCGGGTCATGGGATCAAAATTCTGGCACTTGGCAACCGGCCCAATGCTTGCAGTATCCTGATGTTGTGGTGATCAACATTTGTGACTGGCAAAATCAATGGGGAAGCCGGCAGGGATGATCACAACTCACAATCACACAATGTCTCGTTTAATGACTGTGACGCTTCACCTTAACAGCCATGCAAAAAAAACAAAAAGTCCTTAAACTGGGAATGGTTCTGCCCTGCCTCGCTTCACCCCTGCACCACTTAATGCCATATTTTCCAGTTCTAATTGTGGTCGTAAGCCGGGGACTATCGCTATTTTGCACAAATGTCGAATTGCTCCTGATATTAAGGAATTCCGTTGCTGAGTTTGCCTCTCCTGTAGCCTCCAAGCTCAGGCCGAGTTTGGAACTGTTGGAAACCACAGCTCTTTATACAACATTCTGGAATCCATAACAAAACACGGAGATTAAGTGTTTTGTTTTCTTTCTTCCTTCCTTCCTTCATTCCTCCCTCCCTCCTGCGTTCCTCCGTGGGGGTGAAGGCCACCAAGCAGTTCCTTGAAGAGATCAACAAGTGGACCATCCAGTACAATGTCTCGCCTCTTTCCTGGAACGTGGCCGTCAAATTCCTCATGGCCAGGAAATTTGATGTTCTCCGAGCGATTGAACTCTTCCACTCCTACAGGGTTAGTGCTTGGGCCATGCTGGGGCTTGCCTGGGTAGGTGGGTGGGCTTGGGGACTTCCATGGCTGGATCTCCACAGGCTTAAGCTGGACCCAGGAATTGCCTCTTTCCAAGGTGGCTTAAACCCCTTTGCTGAGATATAACCGTTTCCCAGAATGGTTGCTGGAATTGAGTATCTCTAATTTAATGGGGGGGGGGAGGACTTGGGGTAAGATGATAGCAGTCTTCCAATATTAGAGGGGCTGCCACGAAGAAGAGGTGGGTCAACTTGTTCTCAAAGCACCTGAAGGCAGTAGAAGAAGCAACAGATGGAAACTGACCAAGGAGAGACCCAATCTAGAACTAAAGAGAAATTTTCTAACAGAGAGAACAATTAACCAGTGGAACGGCTTGCCACCAGAAGTTGTGGGTGCTTCATCACTGGAGGTTTTTAAGAAGAGAGTGGACAGCCACTTGTCTCAAATTGTATAGGGTCTCTTCCTTGAGCAGGGGGTTGGACTAGAAGACCTCCAAGGTCCAGCTCTATTCTGATTGCTTGATTGATCTTCTTCCCTCCCCTTTAGGAAACGAGGTTCAAGGAAGGCATCGTGAAGCTGAAACCTCACGAGGAGCCGCTGAGATCAGAACTCCTGAGTGGAAAATTCACCATCCTGGTACATTTTGCTCCCTGGGAATGTGTGAAGCCAGGACACTGAAAAAAGTTGCAGCCAGGAAGTTGTGGGCGACGAGAGAAATCTCCCTACCCCCAAAGCCTTGAGCTGTTACAAGCCATGAATGTTTTCCAAAATATTTGTGCTGCTGAATCACCCAGTCTCTATTGCCCTTCGCCATGAACAAACCCAGTTTCTTGGCTGCTTGCAAAGTGTTACAATCCCCCCCCCCGTTTTGCAAAGGGTCATTCAAACCCCGTTTGGCCATCGTGCTGATTGTCTTCACCGTCTTTTTTTGCAGAGTGTCCGGGATCCTTCCGGAGCCTCGATTGCCCTCTTCACCGCTAAGTTGCACCACCCCAATAAAAGTGTCCAACACGTGGTACTTCAGGCCCTCTTCTACCTGCTGGACAGGGCAGTGGAAAGGTAAGGAGGGCCATTTGCAGTCCAGCGAGGCGCGTGGTTTTGGCTTTTCCACTGTTTCAAGAGCCTGGAGAAATTTATAATCACTTCCTACTTCTCCCAGTGCGAAACACCCTCAAGATTTTCCATTCACTGAAAGCATTGCTTTTAGGGCTGATCACCAAAGTTGCACATCTATTAAGACGTAGAAGAAGTAGAATAGAATAGAATAGAATAGAATAGAATAGAATAGAATAGAATAGAATAGAATAGAATAGAATAGAATAGAATATGGAATGGGAATAGAATATGGAATGGGAATAGAATATGGAATGGGAATAGAATAGAATAATATAGAGGGGAGGAATAGAATGGAATGGGATAGAAGAATAGAATAGAATGCAGAATAGAATAGAATATATTGAAATATGGAATGGAATGGAATAGAATATATTGGAATATAGAATAGAATAGAACAGAACAGAACAGAATAGAATAGCAGAGTTGGAAGGGACCTTATAGATCATCTAGTCCAGGGGTGTCAAACTCAATTTCTTTGAGGGCTGCATCAGCATTGGGGTTGCCTTCAGGGGTGGTGGTGGCCAGGATGGGTGCAGCCTACTGGGTGAGCGTGGATGGAGTGGGTGTGGCCTACTGGGTGGGCCAGCTCTACATCGTTCGCGTCAAGGGTGCCTGTGGGGGCCTGGGCAGGAGTGGGACAGATCTGGGGGTCTCTGGCAGAAGGGGGTGGGACCGGGGCAAGCACCAAGGCATGGTCCATTTCTTCATTCCTCACAAAGGGTGACCCCTCCCCAGCATGCACCCGGGGGGGGGGGACACAGCAGGGGCTGGTCCCTTGCTGTTTCCAGACGGCCTTGTGGAGCTAAGACTGAATGCATTTCAGGATAGATGGCCACCACAAAGTTGTACATTGGCTCCCGGCTGGCCTGGGCCAGGGCCAAGGCAGCGGGGGCCGTTCCCTCACTGTTTCCAGGATGGCTTCGCGGGCCACATGAAACCACTTCACGGGCGGCATCCGGCCCCCGGGCCTTGTGTTTGACATGTCTGATCTAGTCCAATCCCCTGCTCAAATAGTCCTTGATGTATGAGCACAAATGAGCCGAAAATTTACGTTGCTAAGTGAGAAATTTGTAAAGTGAGCTTCGCCTCCAGTTTACGACTTTTCTCACCACATTTGTTAAGTGAAACTCTGCAGTTGTTAAATTAGTAACGCGGCTGCTTAAGTGAATCTGGCTTCCCCATTGACTTTGCTTGACGGAAGGTTGCAAAGGGGGATCACGTGACCCATTGGGACGCTGCAGCCGTCATAAATGTGAGTCAGTTACCAGGCATTTGAATATAGGTCATGTGACCACGAGAATGCTGCAATGGTTGTCAGTGTGAAAAATGGTCCTCAGTGACTTTTTTTCAGTGCCACTGAAACTTCAAACAGTCACTAAATGAACTGTTATAAGTCGAGGACAGCCTGTACTCTGGATGTCTTCGTTCCCCGGGTTGAAAGTGCCAAAGTTTGGGCTCGGTTTTTTAAATTTATTTTTCACTTTTTTTTTTTGAACCACCCGCCTCCCTTACAGAGAGACTCTGAGCAGTGTACAATAATATATCAAAATATAAACAGACAGTGCAGAAAAGTTAAAAAAAATTAAAAAGAGTCAAGGATGGTTAAAACGTGGTTAAAATTTAATTGAAAGGGAAGGGAGGGTTTTGGAGATGCTCACGGCTGTATAAAAATACAAACGTGTAGCCAGAGCGAAACATGGCATCTTCCCAGGTCTCCAGACTTGCATTATGAACTCCACACTATCTTTTAAGCCAAGAATGCTGGCTTGTCATGTCCTGAAATAGATTTGAGGAAACGATAAATCACCGTTTACTTTAACTTGGCCTGGGTTTGTGGGTGCGAGCCTCATCTCCCTGTCCGGACGGATCCTTCTGGAAGGGAGGTGTGTGAGCCCAGCAACTTTGCGTGTGACTCTAAAACAATTGTTTTCCTTCCAATCACCAGCTTTGAAACGCAGCGGAACGGTCTGGTGTTTATCTACGACATGGCAGACTCTCACTATTCGAACTTCGAGCTGGATCTCAGCAAGAAGATCTTGAACTTGCTGAAGGTAATGAGAAAGCCGCCGTGGCCCAAACTGACCCCAGACTCCCCTCCAAATTGAGGTTCCGCAAGGAAAACTTCAGATGTTTGGCTTCCCTCCTCATGCGCTGTCTAACTTCATCAAGGTCCCAAGCTCAGTTGCTTTGATCTTTTCTTTTTTTTAAGAGACAGTCTTGTGTTCCAGAGCATTGAGGAGAGAAGCCTGCAAGTGGAGCCATCTGCTTTTTAGAAAGGGCAAACAATCCCTGTCCGGAAAGATACTTCCACCCCCAAAAGATCCCAGATGGAATTGTTTGGCATGGAAACGGTCTTGGGTCATAGCTAGGAATTTGATTAGAAGCATGACGTGGAAGCCGTCATGGGCGTTGAATCCTTTGCCACTCCTGATGTGTTTACGGAGAGCAAGCATGAAGGTTCTTGAAGGCCTTCTCAGTAAAGGAGGAGAACATCAAGGAGAACATTGGTAGTTCAGGGAGTCCTTGGTGCCCTCTGAGCTGGGTGGTTTCCTTGCAGATGTTTCATAACCCAACTAGGTAGCATCATCAGTGCTAGTAAGGAGTGGGGGTTTTGGAGAGGAGGAGAGGAAGAGGAAGACTGTTGGGTCCTTGGTGCTTTCTGAGCTTGGTAGTTTTCTTGCTACCCAACTAGGTAGCATCATCACTGCTAGTAAGGAGTGGGGGTTTTGAAGAGGAGGAGGAAGAAGACTGTGGGGTCCTTGGTGCTCTCTGCGCTTGGTTGTTTTCTTGCAGACGTTTCATGACCCAGCTAGGTAACATCAGGGCTAGTGCATCGTCAGACTAAGCATGATCATTATTGGTCATTAAGTGAGACATCACAAGGTAGCGATTTGAGGCCTTCCCTGTGATTGGAGTTGCTGAACATTTGCAGCAAAAAGGTGGTAAATCAGGCGGCGGGGTGTGTGTGTTACGTGATATCTCGCTTAATGACAAATGGTCCCAGATATGGCCGTATAGTCAGGACTACCTGTACTTTGAAGATGGTAATGACCTGGCCGAGTCTAAAGAGGATGTTTTGGCTCTCCACCCATTCCAAACCCCCAAGATATTATCCAAGCAGTAGCCATGGATGGCCCTCCCTAACTCCAGGTCTTCCGTGGAAGCAAGGCTTTTGTTTCCAGCCAGTTAATCCAGTGTCACTAAAACCCTTCATTGCCCCACGCAAGGCCGTTTCATTAACGAATCAAATCGAAATCACGAGCCTTTGATCCAGCCAGCTAGGTTATGACCTTTGATGTGCTGACCGCAGGCGACACTCTTCTCTGTCCATCAGCCTGCGGTCTCCTCAAGCCACGGATGAAGAATTCGGGGTCATTTCCCAGAAAAGTTAAAAACAACCCTTTTCCTGTATTAAAGTGCCCTTTTTGAAAAATGTCAGCCAAGCGCAAATATTTGAGATCCTCAAATATGGTCATCTGGTTAAAGTCCTCAGCCATTTGGTTGACCCAGAGCGTGGAGAGCTTCTTTGAAGGACCATCATGAGGAAAACTGACTCTCCAAACAACCGAGCTGAGGTTAGAAGAATTAAATCTGGAGCTCAATGGGCTGCAGCTAATTTCAACCATGGTTGTCTGTTGGGTTACCATAAATAGAGGCTTCCCATGGCCCAGAATTATTCTTGACCTCCGATTCTTTCCCCTTTCTCATTTTATTGAAAGTAACAGTGTGTTTCCAAAAAAAAAAGATAATACCCACAAATGACAGTTACTTACTGAAGTTATACAATTAATGCTTAGTATATAACCTTAGTAGGAGATAGCAAGCAAAACAGATATTAAATATATATATATATATATATATATATATATATATATATATATATATATATATATATATATATATATATATATATATATATATCATCGGGCACATCACATTTCGATAAAAACAAGAGATAAAAATACAACATATAAAACAGCACATCGAAAATATGATAAACATATGTTTAGATTACAGACAGACATTTTTGCTTTGTATGTCACAGTCAGAAAAATCAGCAAAGTCCCCATTATAGGCTCTGTTTTGGCACGCTGTCAGTCTAGGTTGTTTTTCGGCCCCGTAGTCGCAATTGGGTGGAGGTATTTTGTCCCACTTATAGAGATAAAGGAAATAATACATTTGCTGATATAAAGAAAAGAAATATACATTTTGAACTGGATGCCAAGATGTTGTTGTTACTTGTGGCCGTGAAATGCAACTAACTACTATACCCTAGTCCATTCATTCCACTGTATACCAAGTAGAAATTTTCCAGCTTAATGCCAAAATTCCCACTATGTTATTATTTGGGGCAGTGAAAAATAATCTCTCCTGTGCCGCTCTTAGCCAGAATTTACTCAGATCTGTATTTTGAAACCAATTGGACCGCTACCAATAAACATTTTACTTCCTGTAGCATTGTGGTTCCCAGTTCTTCTTTCTTGATCCTCACCAGGAACTGCTAGAGTTGGAAAAAGGATTAGCTTTCCATGGGAGCAAAATGGCTGGCTGGGTGACTTTGGGCCAATCCCTCTCTCTAAGCCCAACCCACCCCGCAGGATTGTTGTTGCAGGGAAAAGAGGAAGAGCAGGGTGTGTGTTGGATGTGCTCTCACTGCCTTGACTTGTTTGTACAAATGATAAGGCAGGATATAAATAAATAAATTCAGTATCCCAAAATTGTGCACAGAATGTTTCTAAGTTAGGGGAGGTTACAAAAATGTAGAGAGAGAGAGAGAGAGAGAGAGAGAGAGAGAGAGAGAGAGAAAGAAAGAAAGAAAGAAAGAAAGAAAGAAAGAAAGAAAGAAAGAAAGAAAGAAAGAAAGAAAGATTGCAGTCATTAGTGGTCTCTAACCCAAACTTGCTCTAAAAATCTCTGATTATACGCATGGATAGTGCCAAAGACTGAACTTTGATGGGGCAGTTTTTGTCAACAAAACTTCAGGTTATAGGAAAAATTAGGGGATTAGCATTCACTAGCTGAGATGGGTCTCGAGTTTACTTGCCTGGAAAGGAAAGCCTGCAAAATATATTCGTCTTCTAAATTGGTTTTCAAACATTTTAGTTTCTGAATTTCTGCTTTCTTTTCAATGTACTTGGGTCTCCCCCTACTGGCCAGAGCAAGGAAATGCAGGCAAAATCCCTTTTGGGTTGAATTCAGCTCCCAAGACTGGGATTCTCCTGGTGGCCTCTTATCCTCTCTCCCAACTATGCTTAGCCAGGTGCTCCTTACCTGATCAGGTAAATAAATACCGTACCATAGATGGTATCATTGCTTGGTTGGGTTGAGTGGGGATGATGAGGGCTGTAGTCTTGTAATTTAGCATAGGCCATAGTCCAGCTGCGAATGACACAAAATACAAGAACAGTTAAAGCAGGGAAGAAAGTGAAGAAAAATGCAAGGAATATTAAAAGCAAGTTCCTTCCCCCACTAATAATTGACCTTTGACCCATTGATCAATACAGATGCCCAATAAGTACCAAATCTCCCTTATTCCACATTCAAAATGTGGATCCATTTGATGAGGATTGATCGTCCCCCTGCAATTCCTCTTCTCATTCCATGATTTATCCTGTGCTGATTGTTGCTTTGCCTTCTTGCCTGAATGCATTGACAACAATCTGTGGTTTTAAAAAAACAATGTAATATTTCTATAGTAATGGCAAATATAAAATGTGCCCCTAATCCTATGAGGCTTGAAAATTGCCCACATTTTATTTTTCTGGCCTTGCTTCCTGGTCTGTTTTTTCTTTTTTAAAAATGCTGGGTTTTTTTGTTCTTTGTTTTAAAAATAAAATAATTTTTTAATATCTCCTTGGTTTACAGGGAGCCTTTCCAGCACGCCTGAAAAAGGTGTTCATCGTAGGCGCCCCGATGTGGTTCAGAGTTCCTTATTCCATTATCAGCTTGTTGCTTAAAGAGAAACTGCGAGAAAGGGTGAGTTGCACCAGGAAGGATCTCAGGGGGCTTCAGCATGCTGAGAGGGAGAAGCTGCCACGTTCACAGGCCCAGTTGAGAAATTTAGGCTGAGCGCAGTGAAAACACACAATGTGCTACGAGCTGGGAAAATTGGTACTAAAATTGGCAAATGAGAGCCAGTTTGATATAATGGTTCAGGTGCTGGGTTAGAAACCAGGAGGCTGTGAGTTCTAGTCCCACCTTTGGCAGGAAAGCCAGCTGGATGACTTTGGGCCAATCACCAGGTGGGTTCTAGTCCCGCCTTAGCCATGAAAACTGGCTGGGTGACTTTGGGCCAATCACCAGGAGATGGTGGGTTCTAGTCCCGCCTTAGGCATGAAAGGCAGCTGGGTGAATTTGGGCCAATCACCAGGAGAGAGGTGAGTTCTAGTCCCATCCTATGAATGAAAGCCAGATGGGTGACTTTGGGCCAATCACCAGCAGACAGCGAGTTCTAGTTCTGCCTTAGGCGTGAAAGCCAGGTGGGGGACTTTGGGCCAGTCCCTCTCTCTTAGCCCAACCTGCTTCACACGGTGGTGATTGTGGGGGAAATAGTAAGAGCATGGAGTATTACGTACATTCACCACCTTGAGTTACTTATTTTTTTAAAAAAAATCCAATAAATAAATCAGGAATTCAGCGCAAGCCAACCTAAATGGCTGCACTTTCAATATGAGGATCCCATTACTAAGAAGCAGGGAATAAACGTTTGTGAGGCTGTTTTGTTTAGCACCACAATGTGCCCCTTCCTCTTTCTAGGTCCAGATGGTGAAAATGTCGGAGCTCAGGCAGCACCTGCCCCACGAGTGCCTCCCCGAGTATTTGGGAGGGTCTCTGAAGCTGGACCCCCTCAGCTGGAACTGCAGATTCCTCCCGCAGCAGAATGGGCACCCGGACCCCCTGGACGAGCTGATCCTGGTCCCCCTAGCTCCACCTCGGGACAACGGTTCCGTCCACATCCCCGGGCCCAAGTCCATGACTCTGCAGGAACTTCTGGAGCACGTCAACCAGAAGCAGAAGCGAGGAATTTATGAGGAATATGAAGGCATTCGGCACCGAAGCCCGACGGGCACTTTTGGGTGTTCTCTGTAAGCATCCAGATGGCGGGAGGGTCTGAGGTTGGAGAATGACAGAGTTGGAAGGGACCTTGGAGGTCTTCTAGTCCAACCCCCTGCTTAAGTAGGAGACCCTATACCATTTCAGACAAATGGCTATCCAGTCTCTTCTTAAAAACTTCTAGTGTTGGAGCACCCACAACATCTGGCGGCAAGCTGTTCTGCTGGTTGTCCTCACTGTTAGGGAGTTTCTCCTTAGTTCCAGATTGCTTCTCTCCTTATTTTCCATCCATTCTTTCTTGTCCTGCCTTCAGGTGCTTTGGAGAACAGGTTGACCTCCTCTTCTTTATGGCAACCCCTTAGATATTGGAACACTGCTATCATGCCACCCTTAGTCCTTCTCTTCATTAGACTTGACATACCCAATTCCAGCAACATTCTGGGGGGCAGGAGAGACCCCACCTGAAGCCCCATCTAAGGAGAACCAAACCTGGAGGAAAGAGGATCTATCCCTCACCCCATGGAGTTCCATTGTTCTCCTTTATTTTGAGTCACTGCGTTTCTCATCTTTAGTTGAGAAGATGGGTGAACTTCGTCTCTTTTGCATCCTTGCTGGTGAACCCCATTTTTATTGCCCTTTTTCCTCACAGAAATTTTGACTTCTTTGCTGATAGCCTCCCATTGCTGGGAGCCATTCCTGGTCTTTCCTTGTTCATGCCTCTGTCTTTTTCTGCCCTCTTTCCCAGAGCGCCTTTGAACCAGGAGAAAAACCGATACGGGGATGTTCCCTGCCTTGATCAAACCAGGGTGAAATTGTCCAAACAGTTCAACTATCAGGAGGTAAGTGAAGCTGATAGCATTTCAAGGAACCGAAGCCCCCAAATCATAGCAAAGAACCCAATTTCTGGCTGCAGAATTGAAACAGAATTGAAACAGGAGCTTTACAGTGGTCGTACTACCTGCCAGGGAAAATTGTGGGGGGAAATTGGAGGGGGGGGGCATTGATACACTGCCTAGGGGAAAGATGGGCTTTACTTCAGCTGAATAAAATTTGGGTTGAAAAGATATTTGGGATAAACAGAAATCCACTCTGTTAAATTAACTCTACTATACTAGATATAAAACTTCCAGTTATGACAGATGGTAAAAAGCTCTGATTCTCCATATTTTCTGCTCCGCTGACATCCCTATGCTAAGGGAGACCTCCATTTTATGTTTTTTTTAAAAAAAAGTTTTTATTTTTCACTTATCAATTGCATAAACAAAAAAGAAAAAATTTCACATTTGACAAAATAAAATAAATACACATGACCATAGTGTTGCTTGCCCAGCCCCCAAACTGCATCCGCCCTCTCTAACACTCTCCCTTACTTCCCTCCTCTTTCTCACCTCTCTCTCCCCTCCCCTTCTCCTCACCATCCTACTTCCTCCCTAACCTTTCTCCTCCACTCTCATCCCTCTTCAGATACAGTGCTGGGGAAATGCCCAAGCAACATCCCTCTCATAAGTTATCCCATCTATTATCTTACTTTAATTCTATTGTCTAACCTACTTACCCACCCACCCCAACCCCCCTCCCCCCACTTCCCAAGCCCCCACCCCACCCCCACCCCACTTCCCAGAGCTTGGCACAGGGTTTTCAAACATATTAAACAAAATCTACTTAACTTTAACTAATACAAACTGAATCTAACTAAACCTATCCAACTATACAAATAACAAAATCAATAACTTACTTTAACTCAGATACGAAACAAATTTAAACAACAAATTCAAACAAATTAAAAAATTTAAACCAAAAATTATTCATAATCAACTATAAAAATCAAATACAAAGCAAATTAAACAATTCCAAATTTAAACCAAAAATTATTCATAATCAAAACGATACTTTTGATCATATCTACTCTAATCATAATTTATCCATTAAATCCCATATTTATTCTTCATATCATTTATCCACCTTCTCCACACCGAGATGTATATTTCTTTTAAACAATATAAACTTGGCTCTTTACTCTTTCCCCCCCACACCCAAGTAACCTTTTCTCCTAAATCAAAACCTATCAGCTTCTTATACACTTTTAATATATCATAATATATCATAATTACCTTTATACGTTTATTAAAAATTATAATAAGTACTCCCAAATATGAAATCACTAAGTTAAAACCTATCAAGTCTTCTCCCAAACAGAGATCATAATTTTAAACTTTTAAACTTTTTCCCCCAAATAACAAAGATTTAACAAAACTCTTTATAATTTCCCCCCCCCCCAAAAAAAAAGGCTAGCTAGCCGGCTGATATTCCAGCTTTTTCTTCTATTGTCTAGCGCATAGAAAATGGTGGAGAACCTTCTGCTGTTTCTTTATTTTACTTCTAAAAGCTACAGGAGTCATACTCAATTTCTTTAATGAATCTTCTGTCAAGGAAGACTGCTGCAAAAGTTCAACCTGCATATCTTCTTCAATCGGTTGCTCTTCCAACTTTTCTTCTGATATCTCAGCTGTGGGTAATGAAGAGCCCGCCTTCAAAACAAAAGTGTAAAAATCTTTCGCTTTTAAAATTGTATCAAGTCTATAATGTATCCCCGCGTAATTCACCGCTATTCCAACCGGTATTTCCCATCTGAACCAGACCTGTCGCCTCTTAAGCTCATCAGCCAGAAAAACAAAATGGTTTCTTACTTTAAGAATTCTTGAAGGTAATTCTTTTAAAAGTATAACATCCTGAGCTGCAATTTGAAATCTCTGCTTATGAAAGGCTTGTAAAATTTTATTAGGAAGTGATCTACTAGAAAAATAAATAACCACGTCTTGTGTCAGATTCCTCTGCCTCGCAACCCTTGAATTAACCCTAAAAACTTTTTCCGTCTCTCTCAATATTTCTTCAGGCTCAGATTCCAAAATAAAAGCTATGTCAATTTACGACCACTTGTCTCAAATCCTCTTGGGTGTTTTCCTGCATTCCCCTTATTCTTAAAGCAAACTCCATACTTCTGTATTGTAACATAGTAATTTCATCCTGAATTATTTCCACTTTATTTTCTGTTTTATCAACTCGATCTTCCAATTTTTCAGAACTTTCCACAGCAACATCAATATGCTGATCCAGACGATCTATATGATCAACAAACTTCTGAAACACAGACGCTATATTTTCTCTGTTTCCTAAATTTATTTTCAATAATTTCACCTATCTCTTTTTCAATCCGTCATACGCTATCTTCCAAAGCGTCCTGTAAGTCTTTAGATAAAACTGCTGGTAAAGCTGAAAAAAGTGGTGGAAATTTAGACTCAGCTTGCTGGGCTGTCTGCATTACCGAAGAGGAGATCGAGGCTTTAGAAACAAAAGCTCCGAGATGCTTTGAAGCCATCTTGTAAAAGAAGAAAAGAAAAGGAAAAAAAAAACTCTTAAAATCTTATAAAACCTTCAACAGTTAGCAGAGAGAAAAAAAAGGAGACAAAAGGAAGGGAAAAAAGACAAAAGCCCCCTATATAAAAAAAGAAAAGAAAATTCTTATATCTTGTAAAAGCTGTTACATTGTTTCAAATTGAAATTCCGGTCCTTTCACTCTTAAAATCAACATCTCAGCGCCATTTTTCACCCCTCTCAAATAAGAAGAGAGAGAAGATGAAACCTTTTCCAGAGTTAAAGTCTCAAAATAATCACCAATATAATTGGGAGACCTCCATTTTAAACATGTAGTGAAGTTGCCCGATATTAAACATATTACTTCTGCGGAAGTAATTTGTGAATGGGGGTATGCTCTTCATGTTTAATTACAAGACACGGCTTATGCAGATAAAATGTTAAAAATCCTGTTCCAATTTTTTTGGGGGGGGGGGCTGAAGAAAATAATTCTCTGACTCTTGCCCTACTTAGAGTAGAAAATAGAAAAGCAAAAGGGGGGTGGTAAGTTCTCTTTTGCCTGAGAACTTAAGGAAGGTGCTCTAAGTTGCAAGGGAGAATATCAGATTAAAGAAGAAAGTTAGATTACAGAACGATGCTTTCATGAGCCTGTTGTTAAGGACCAGGGAGTAAATTTTAGTGTAAGAAACGTCCTTCCACATCTACCTTTGCTCGCTCCTCAAATGTAGCTTCTGTAATTGGTTCAAAAGGATTGACAAATGCAATTGTTTCCATAGATGACTGACTACATCAATGCCAGTTTCATGGATGGGTACAAGCAAAGGAATGCTTATATCGGCACTCAAGGTATTTATGATCCCAGATCTTGAAAGCATCACCTGGTTCTTTAGAAACTATTTAGAAAAGGGGGCAACTTCTGCATTCAAGATCTGGAGTCTGTCAAATCACAGCTCCCTCTTCTCACCTTGCTCAACAGGTGCTCCAGAAAAGCCCAGCTAGAAGCAACCACATTGAATTGTTAAATTTTGATCCTGTCCAGAACAGATAGATCTCGGCATACTACCATAATGGAATCTGCCCAAAATGTTGTATATCATAATGGCCTAAGAAAGGTTGGTCACATGACCGACCCAATTTTATGACCTTTTTAGTAATGGTCATTAAAGCAAACCAATGATTTGCTATCGGCACGTTTCACCACTTGCTTATTCTCTTGTAATCCTTTTCTCTCCAATATTTCCACTTTGTAAAAGAGGGAGGTAATGGGTTAGCATACAAACATATGCTGATATAAGGGTGATTATATGACTGATGCTGCGGAGGTCATAAATGTGGGCATTGGTCATAAAGTTATTTTTTTTCAGCACCTTCATGACTTTGGTCACTGAACAAAGCAGTTGGTAAGCAAGGATTACCTGTAATAATAGGCTTCTAGCATCATCTTAGAATTCCTTGTTTTATTCTAGGGCCATTAGAAAATACATACAACGACTTCTGGCGCATGGTGTGGGAACAGAATGTACTGGTGATCGTGATGACCACAAGGTAACCTAGCAATGCATGAAACAGTAAATGAGCATGGGTAACCTTGTTGGGTTTTAGCAGAGGGGGTGGCTTGCTAAAGATGCTGTTCTGAAGGTGCTCTCGACTTGTGACATCAAGTCAAAACCAAGATTCTTCTGCTTTTGACTTGATGCCTTATGCTAACTGAGCCAACTTGGTTCCTTCAAAAGATGTGTCTTCGTGCTTCTGTTGGGCTCCAAGCTGACACCTCCCAGGCATGCTGACATTCCATATTCTTCCTTCCTTCTTTGCATGACAGGATTGAAGAAGGAGGCAAAAGGAAGTGCGGTCAATACTGGCCACTGGAGAAGGACTTTCAGATCGGTTATGGAACCTTAACGGTTACCAACCTTGGAACAGAGAACCTCAGCCATTACAAGAAGACACTCCTGGAGATGTTCAGCTGTGAGGTAATTGCACAAACCCTTCATCAATGGGCCATGGGATGTCATACTGCTCTTCCCTTTCACAGCAGTTCTGCTCTGTTGTTGCTCACAACCTATCCTCCTCCTCCTCTTTTCAACCCTCTTTAGCTGGTACTTCCTGGATGGAGAATTGGACTACACAAGATTATCTTAACAGATTTCTGCAATAGAAACAATCCTGGTGTCCCCTGATTTCTGATCATAAACTCCCTAATTCTCCATTGGTTTGGCTCCATAACAAGTGATTCTCAACTGTGGTAGATTGAAAATGAGTGGACTTCAACTCCCAGATTTCCCAGCTGGCCACAGGAGTTGAAGTCCACTCATCTTCAACCTACCGAAGTTGAGAAACATTGATCTAAAGAGTACTATAGGGGTCATAAACTCCCAAAGTAGAAGACAACCCAACCAAAGTAGAAGACAACCCAACCCAAGTAGAACACAACCCAACAGAGGCACAAAAGTGGTAATCTGAAACTTGGGGCCAACTCTCTCTACCCCTCCCCCTTTTCATCTATCTACAGAACCGAGAGAGACGCCGTGTGACTCATTTCCAGTACGTGAGCTGGCCCGACTACGGGGTCCCTTCCTCAGCAGCCACGCTCATCGACTTCCTGGGAGCCGTCAAGCAGCAGCAGAGGGTGGCCGTCAGTGCCCTGGGACCACGTTACAAAGGTCATCCAGGAGGGCCACCCATTGTGGTACACTGCAGTGCCGGTATTGGGAGGACAGGTAACTGACTGGGTTCTTGAGTGGAGAGTTCGGTTTCCCAAAACTTCAGAAGCTTTCTCCCATGGGGCTATCCTCTGCCTCCCAGCATGCCCCAGGTAGCAAAGCCAGAGCCTGGGAGTTGAAGTTCACACATCTGCTGGTGGTCCACATTGGAGAAGACTTCCCACTTGTAAAACTGGGAACAGAGGAGGTCATTTTCTCCTCTCTTAAATATTTTTGGGATGCAGAGAAGCGATCTTCTCCAACCTGTTGCCCTGCCCTGTATCAAACTTCAACACACACACACACACACACACACACACACACACACACACACAACCAGGCCCTGCAGGTTGGGGATTACAGGACCTGGAAGCCCAATATTTTCACCCAAAAGCCAACTCAAAGAAGTTGATGTTCTATATTGTTTCAGAGGGTGGCGCCGATGGGTGACCTGTCCCGTCCCCCCTGTCCTTTCTCCAGGTACTTTCTGCGCACTGGATATTTGTCTGTCACAACTGCAAGATGTGGGTACCCTCAACATTTACCAGACGGTGGTGCGGATGAGGACCCAGCGCGCCTTCAGCATCCAGACCCCTGAGCAGTATTACTTCTGCTACTTGGCCATCCTTGAGCACGCGTACAGGGAAAACCTCCTGCCCTACTCCCATCCCAGGATGGGTCCAGAGAAGAGCTAATCCCAAGGTCTAGATCAGTAGATGTGGAAGCTCATCCAGGCTTCAGCCACAGCAGGAACTACTATGCTGTCAGATTCCTTCCTTCCTTCCTTCCTTTCTCATCTTCCTTCCTTCCTTCTCTTTTCTTTTTCTCCCTTTCTCAACTTCCTTCCTTCTCTTCCTCCTTCCTCCTGCTCAACAACTGGGTTTGGCTGGAGCTTCCAGCTGGACCTGGCCAGTGGCAAGTCCATTCTTCACTACCAAAGTTGGAGGCCATTTTTCTTGGACTATTTGGCCACAAGGAGCCATGACCAGTAGCCACGGACAAGGGATCTGTTGCATCCACTGCCTTGACTGACCTGTGCCTTATTGAAAAACAAAAACACAAAGCAACGAATGAAGCAAGCCCAAGGGCTGCATTGAGTCCATGAACTGAAGACCCTGATTCTTCTCCATGGGCCTGTCCTTCAAGAGGCCGGCTTGGAAGAGCCACCCAACGCTTCAGTCTTAACGACCGCTAGGCCTGCCTGTGTGTTGTCCATGTAACCTCCTTCTCCTGCCCGGGGATCTAACCAGGATGCCCGTTTATATAGGTGTAGCTGCTTCTAGCCAAGATTCAGCATTGCCTCATTCCAAGGCCCAGTGCTACTGCCAAAGTTAATGGATCTGTCTATCTCCCACCCACCACCCATCTCTGCCCTCTCCTTGGGTCAACCACACATGTTGACAAGGAGTTTTTGCCCGCATGCCTTGAACAGGGGCACGGATCCCTAAGAGGGCAGCTTTGGTGCAGAAATTGGGAGAGGGGCCCCCAAACTGGCATGGAGAAGGCATGTTAGGGTTACGTCCTTCCCCATTCTTTGGTGGCCTTTTTGGAGGAGTTCCTCCAAGGGGTCTCTGGAGCCCGCAAGGAAGGCAGGAGGCACAGCAGCGAATGGCTTGTGTGTTTGTCCCTAGCTGGAAATGCTAAGTGGCTGGTACGAATAGGGAACCAGAAAAAGGGTCCCCGCGGGATTGGGGGCCACAGGCAAAGAGAGGCAGGGGTTTAAGCTGGATCAATTCTCTTCCATGGAGGCTCTTTTTCCAGATGAAGCTGGGGAAAAAAAAACACTTTAAGGCATCAAGAGACAGCAGAGGTTGTATAAAAGTGGGGTCCCTGATAACCTCCCTTGTAGCATGTGGGGCCCCCATAGCAGCAAGATGGCACGGGTCTCATATTCCGGAGCCCTGGGGTCCCCCCTCTTTCTCTCTCTCTCTCTCTGCTTGCAGAGGAAAAGTGGCCCCATCAAGCCACGTGAGTAACTTTATACTGGAATCAGATCTTTAGAACGTGTATATTTCTTATTTTTTACACCCCTCCTCTTTTTTTCCCCCCATTTCAGTTTTTATATTTAATCTTAACTTGCTCACGTCCAAGTTGGAAATAATTGTAAATGTTCCTGGTCGCTGTTTTACAGCGAATTATGGGGTCTTTTCTTTAGGGAGGGTTTTTTTTTTTTTAGTATTCACAAATAAATATGCCTACAACGCACAAGTTTAGTATTGCTCCTTTTGCGGCTTCTGCAGTTCAGTGTTTTATGGGAGAGGTCAGCAACTGGTAGCCTCTCTCACCTCAACAGCCCTTGGCCCAATTCCAGAACCTTCCATGCCAGCTAGATGCTGGCTGAGGAATTCTGGGAGTTGAAGTTCACACATCTTAAATGTTGCCAAGATCGAGAAACACTGTTTAAGGATGTTGCTTTTCAGTCATGTAGCAAAACAATTGATGGAGGTTAAAAGAATGGAAACAAGCTTGCAGGATGCTTCAAATTTTAGCTGTTTTTCTAGGTTGGATTCTTTTGAAGAACGATTCAAGTCTTGGCACACTTAGCATAGGGGGGGACTAAGAACTTGGGGTTCAAGTAGCCATTATGGGGCTGATGTGACTAAACATGCAAATTGAGGCTGAACGCATCAGTGAATTAATGCAGCAAGGTCTAACTCCTGAATTTCTCCCATCCTCTCACCCAGCCTAGTTTGTAACATGCCTCCCTTGAAAAGAGGGGTTGATTTAACCCCGAAAGGGGGAAAAATAGTTATTTCAAGGAGGCTGGGAGGGAGGGGATATGTAAAGTGGACAAGGTGATGTAGGGGAAGGGATGGCAGAGCCTGGAGTCAAAAGAGGGACCAGTCTAGAATCCTTAGGTAGCCCCAAGCAAACCAAGTCTTGAATGCAGCTTATAAGATAATCTTTATTGTCACTTTTTCTGTGAACAAACTGGCACATATGAAAAAATGAAATTCTGATGCCCGCTCACAAAAGTATACCTATACCCATACATGTACATATACTATATACATATAAATATATACATATTTTACAATCAGAATACCTAGCGGAAAAAGACTCTTTGAGAGTTAAGGTTGGTACTATATTTTTATTTATTTATGAGACTTATATACCGCTTTAAGTGCGAGCACTCTCTAAGCGGTATACACCAGTAAGCAATTTATATATATATATATATTTACATTGCCCCCAACAATCTGGGTCCTTATTTTACCTACCCCAGAAGGATGGAAAGCTGAGTCAACCTTGAGCCGGTGAGATTTGAACCACTGACCTGCTGAACACAGTCAGCTAAAGTGGCCTGCAGTACTGCACCTTAACTGCTGCGCCACCTCGGCTCTTATATATGGTATAAAGCTATTACAGAATTAACTAACTCCGAGCAGGGGCTCACCATTAGTTGAGAAGATTCCTGCACATAGGCTTTTAGCAATGAAGCGGTTTAACTGAAACCTTCATTAGTGGGCCATCAGCATCTGCAAGTATTCGGGAGTTGTAGCAGGTGGAAGTCTGGGACAGGTACAGGCTGCTGGCCTCTCATAACCACAGAAGCTAATTCTACTCAATTGTAAAGTGAAATTAAAATCCAGCTCTCCCCCCTTCTTTACCGCTGGAGAAACTAAGGAGGGAGGAATTTTTTTTTTACAAGGATCTCGCCCCACCTTTAATATCACTGTTGATTGTTTTCATATTTTACCTTGTTGCTTTTATAGCTTGCAAGCCGCTTAGAACAGTGGTTCTCAACCTGTGGGTCGGGACCCCATTTGGGGTCGAACGACCATTTCACGGGGGTCACCAAACAACGCAGTCCGCCATTTCCCCCCCCCTTTTTTTCCTTAGCTGTGCTACTCCTTTTTATTCTATTGGCTTTTGAAAGCCAATAGAATAGACTCTCTTGAATAGAGTCTAATTCTCTTGGCTTTCAAAAGCCAATAGGAATTGTCCAGGCTGTCTCTGCCCTGCTGAGCCCGCCAAAAGTCCCCTTCTGCAAACGGTGCTGCACCAGTTGAGTAGTCCTCGACTTACAACCGGTTGAGTAGTCCTCGACTTACGACCGGTTGGGGGTCGCGGCATTAAAAAGGTTGAGAACCACTGGCTTAGAGTCATCTCTAGCCGAGATCAATAAATAAATAAATAAATGTCCATCAGAATCCGCATGGCAAAAATTTCTGCAGCTGGCAACTTTTTTTTTTCTTCCTAAAGCTGACGCCGGGTGCCAAGGCGGTTTCAACAATCCCAGGGCCAGGCCAGCTTTCTAACTTTTGCCAAACACGGATCGGGGAACACCATTCCCACGTTTCCCGCACTCCCATCCGCTACAACTCCCGAACACTTACAGATGCTGAGGGTCCACGCCAGCCTTTTTTTCATACAAAGCCCGGTGGGTGCCACTTCCGGGAGGGGGGGGGAAAGAGAGAGGAGAGGAGGCGTGGCCTAAATCGTAGCTTTAATCCCCGCCTCCACCACAACGGTCTCTCTCCCTCGGCCAATCAGCGCCGGGGGGTGTGTCCCCCCATTCAGGATTCCTCGCTTGGGGCTTTAAGGTATGTAACAGCTGCTTTCAATTGACTCCCCCCGAATGCTGGATCGGGTGTTTTGGGGGTTTTTTTCCCCCCTCGCTGCTTCTTTTTTTTCCGGGCGGGGGGAGTGGGGGGAAGGCGCGGAACTTCGGGAGCTTCCCCCCATCCCTGTGTGTTTGTGCGTGTGTGCTTGTGTGTGTGCGCGCGCGCAATAGACCCTTCCGAAATCAAGAGGAGTAAATGAAGGAGGGGGGGGGAAGAAACGGGGGGGGCTGTGTGGAGGGGGGCAGAGAGAGGTGGAGAAGCAGGCTGAGTTTCCTTAGGGCGGGAAAGGAGTTGGAGTGGGGAGGGGGAGTTGGAAGCGGGGGCGAAGGAGGACACCCCCACCCCATGCCCGGTTTCCGAACAGGCGGGGGGGGGGGGCGCCGTGTTCGCGGGTTGTTTTTTTTCTCTCCCTGGCTCGGGGTTCCGAAAAGAGGAGGAGGAGGAGGAGGAGGAAGTCTAATAGAACCCCCCCCCAGCCTCCCCTATAAAAAGAAAGCGGGGAGGGGGCGATCCTTGCGCTGAGCTTCCTCGCCGGAGTTGTTAAATCCTCCTCCTCCTCCCGCTGTGAAACTTCGCCCCCCCCTCCTTGGGGTTTGGGGGGGGGAAGGAGGGGGAGGAGCCAAGGAGAGCCCTGGAGGGGCTGCGCGGGGGGCGCGAGCGCTAAATGCCAGGGAGGAGCCAGGGCGCTTCCCCCCCTCCCCCCCGATCCCCTTATTCCCCCCCCCCTCCACGCGCCCACCCGGAAGCCTGGATTTCCGCCCGGCGGCCTGTCCGCGGTTCCCCGCGCCGGCTGCGGGGCTGGAGGCTCGCTCGCTCGGCTGATTTTGACTGGAGACGGGGAAGGAGGGAGGAGGGACTGTCCACGCGGCCGCTGGCCGGACAGATGCGCCTCGACACGTGGAGGAATGGCTCGCCTGCACGTGTGCACGGAGATCGGGAGGGGGAGGGGAGAACCGTGTTGCCTTGGCCTGCCTGGGAGGTGAAGTCGGGGCACGGGGAGACGGGGAAGAAATCCTTTCCCCCCCCCATTGAACTCGCCATTGTTCTAGCATTCAAAACTGCAGATTTTTGGACGCCGTTTTTTAATTCTTTTTCCCCTGCAACCCTGTGGGGTGGGCTAGGCTAGGCTGAGCCACAGCGGCCGGTGCTGGTTGCCGCGTCAAGCTGAAGGAGGACCTCCCCCCCCCCGCCAAAAGCTAGGAACGGCATTCAGACGTTAAACTTGGTTTTCGAATCGGATGCGTTGGTGATTTGTTGGAGCGAAACGCGCGGGTCGTGTGAATGATGATCCTGGCACTGGCCCCGAGTCGCTGAACGGCTGCGACCCGGTAAAACAGTTCGACCGGGTCTCCAGGCTTACAGACTGGACTCGATCCGGCTTGGCGGCGGCAAAGAGGCCGCGATCTCGCTTCCCGCGACTTGATTTCCCGGACCGAGCCCGGGCGCAGGCTGGCTTCGTTCTGCGGGAATGCCTGACCCGTTCCGGAGACGGTACTGATGCAGCCATTCGGACCGCGCTCCTTCAAGCCAGACAGAAGCGACCTCGGAAGCGTTTTTTTTGGGGGGGGGGGGTCGAGCCCCCCTCCCGTCTCCAGCCCAGAGTTGGGCGTGGGGGGGGGAGGGTGGCGCCGCTAGCCCCTCCCACCAGGCAGCATTGGAAGAACACCATCCCGGAAGTCAAGCCCTCTAAACCCGGTCCTGGGAAGGGGGGAGTCACCACCCCCCAATTTGGCAGTTGCAGTGCAGACTAGCAGGAGAGCGGGAGGGGGCAGCATTTCCGGTCTGGAAGGGAGGCGTGAAGCCTCTTTGGCCTGGGGTGGGTGGCGGGCGAAGGAATGATGGAGCTTCCCTCTATAGGGGAAGTGTCCCCATAAATGGGCATCGGATCGTCCCTCGCTCGGTTGCTTTCATTCGCCGCCCATTCATTCGAGTGAATAGCGCTGTTACTACGGGAGGATTTTCTCGGAGAGAAAAGCGTGTGTGTGTGTGTGTGTGTGTGTGTGTGTGTGTGTGTGTGTGTGTTAGGCAGCGTTTCTCAGCCTTAGCAACTTGAAGACGTGTGGACTTCAACTCCCATGGCTGGCTGGGGAATTCTGGGAGTTGAAGGCCACACGTCTTCAAGCTGCCAGGGAGGAGAAAGGCTGCTTTAGTGTCACAAAAGGGCAGGTGTGCCATCTCAAAAGGGCCTCTGGGTTAGTACCCCGCGCAATCTTGCATACAGGTCATCCTTGACTTACGACCACAATGGAGCCCAAAATTTATGTTGCTAAGTGAGACATTTGTGAAGTGAGTTTTGCCCCAGTTTACAACTTGACTTGCCACATTTTTTAAGGGAATCACTGCAGTTGTTAAATTAGCAACACCGTTGTTAAGTGAATCTGGCTTCCTTCCCCCTCCCCCCCCCATTGACTTTGTTGATCAGAAGGTCACAAAAGAGGATTGCATGACAGCCGGGATGCTGCAACGGTTGTAAATATGAACCAGTTGTCAAGGATCCAGACATAAATCACATAACCGTGGGGATGCTGCAACGGTCATAAGTATTGTTGTAACTTTGAATGGTCATTAAATGAACTGTTGTTAGTTGAGGACCACCTGTGTTTCAACATGAAAAGCAAGGAGTTGTTCCATCTCAGGACAGGAAGCTCTAAGCCCCCCTTTGAGGAGAAAAACTTGGCTCCAGTTACATGAAAGCTGTAGCTTTACTTAATCCCAATTTATAAAATAAATTGCAGATGGCTGGATTGATAACCTGTTGAGATACGTAGTTAAATGAAAGCAAATTTTGCAGAATGAACAGGAGCCATGCCCTGCCACAAGGTGTTGGATAACTTTAAAAGGGGGGAGAGGAGATCAAGATATCCTGGGCTGCAGTTTACCACGGCTACATAATTTCTTCAAAATTGGAGATAATGGCCAGGCCCGTCAGGCAAAGATGAGGTTTCTTTTAACCAGGGTTACTTAAATCAAGTACGTTGGCTAAAAGTATACAATGCAACAGTTTAGAAGCCAAGGATTGCAAAAAACCGTAACTTGCTACTGTAACTTCGAGGTTCTCAGTCCTGGGGGGGGCAGAGATCCTAGGAGGGTGAAATCCAGACAGCTGAGAGAGCTTAGCCTGCCTCTAGATAAGGATTTATAGATTTCCTCCACAGGAAAGGATTTGCATCTTTGTTTGTCTTGCCTAGGGCAAGAGGAACATTGTTCTGTGCTTGACCAAGCCAAAGGTGGGGGGTGGGCAGGGGGACTCTTGAGAGCTACCGATAGCTATCTTGCTTCAAAGATTTGGGGAGGGGAAACAAGTATAGGAAAATAGTGGGGGAGAAAAGCATTAATTGTTCAAATGGATACAATCAAAATTGATTAAATTTGCTTTGTTTTGAAGGCTACATCTTCCTTCCTTCCTACCTACCTACCTACCTACCTACCTACCTACCTACCTACCTACCTACCTACCTACAGCCTTGATTTAAGATCACCCAGGGAATTCTAAGGATTCTTCAATCTCAAATTTGAATGTTCTGGTGTTTTGGGACCACCTTGAGGTTGTCATTGTACAACAGCTTTTCCTTCCTGAACTAGGGCCCTCCAGCTATGTTCAGAAGATAATTCAAGCCACCGCTGGTCACCAAAGGTGTGGGGTTCAAAAATGCAGGTTCCCTGAGTGTTGGCTCGCCTGGTGTTACTAACCTGGCCTTGCTTTTTCCTGATGCCTTTATTCAAGTCTAATCATGTTGGCTGACTTGTTTATAAGTCAGATGGGGAGGAGGGGAACTTGTCTTTGAATTGTAGGCGTGCCTGGCAGTGGGGAGGACTGAATTGCGGTGTGATAGCAGCTTTTAGCCACGTGGAAAGAAGTGGATGTCAAAGGAGGAGGGTGAAATTGTGAGTGAGGACGCCTGCTGCTGTTTTAGTTTATGGTGAGACGTGTGCAGTTTTGGAGTGAATTGGCTACTCGGAATCAGTATGTGTGAGTTGCGCAGGCATATGAATTTGTTGAATAAATAAAAATAAATTTACTGCACATTTCCAAAGCTGCATTTGAGAATTGGTTGTGCTTCCCGTCCAAAGCACATCCTGTCCTTTTACTCTGAATTGTAATTAACTTGATTATTCCGGACGCCAGGAGGATGGTGTCACTTGCTTTCTGAGCCATCCAGGATAAGAGGCTGGAAGGAACAGATGTTTAATGCAGTGTGTAATTGGGCAGAGACGGGATAGCAAACAGTCATGTAATTCAGGTTGTGTGTTTGCATTGACACACTGCCCCTCGGCTGGCCATGCCATCACATGGCAGGATGAGTTAAAATATACCTGGCTGACCTGGGGCTCAGTAGAGCATGTAAACAGACACTTAAAGTATTGTGTTATAACATATCATTTTTCAGTATCAGAACAAAGCTTTTTTTACAGATCATTCCATTTTTTCAATCTGTCAGATTCCTGATCTTCTATCCTGTCCTTTCCAAGAATTCTCCCGTCTTAAGAAGATAGTTCTTCCTGCATCTTTTTATCTTAGATGTGAGTGGATGGTGAGTTTACTGTAAATATTCTATAGCTTTCTGTATGTATGCTGCAGTATTTATGCTCAGTGCAAACAAGGGACTCCAGGAAAATCCATGCTGAGAATCTAAAATTCCCACCAGACCTCTGGCTTCAGTACCCACGTTAAAACTGGGCACTTAAAAATAAATAATCACCCGGAAATACAAACTCGTTGTGGGTTTTGTGGACTGCGCGGTAGAGAGCCCATTTCCCAAGACTACTTGACTCATGTAATTTTTTTTTTTTTAAAATGAAGCATCACACGCGATTTGCATAGTGCTTATTAGAAACATCTTGTTCTGAGGCGTTCGAGTAAACCGTCTGTGGTAAAGCTATCTTATTTTAAAAAGGAGGGGTTTACTTATTGGGCTTCAAAAGAGAAACAGAGCTGCTAGCCTCTCTGCAACCCTGCCCAAGTGCCACGTTTGGTCTTCACCGCAGCGCAAGTGGTTGTTTAAGAAGGGCAGAGCCAGTTAGCGTCCTGCTAACTTGGCAATGCAACCAAGAATTTTATTTTATTTTGGGGTTGGTTTTTTTTGCAGAAACTGGATTGGCCCCAGGTTTTAATTGGGGAGGGGGCAATGCATTTGGGAATTGGTGCCCGGCGCTTGCAAAGCGTGCACGGAGACCTGTTGCCTCCGCCCGCGAGAACGGACGGCCTGCACTCCCTTTGATCAGACTTCCGGGGAGAGGTTGGGCTACGTGGGTTTCCCGTGTCGGCGTGGGGGAGGGGTAGAGCTGCAGTTGCAGCAACATCAGCGGAGAGGTTTTTATTATTTATTTATTTATTGCTTTGCAACCGAGCGCGCCTGACATTGCAAGCTTTGGATGCGAATTCTGGTTGTGGTCCTCCTCCTCCTTTTCTCTCGCCAGCGTGGTTGCACGGAGCCGGTGGCCTTCCTGCGAGCCACGATGCCCGGACGCTGCGCGGATTTGCAAGGGCAGCAGCCGCGGCGCCGATGTAAACATTCCACAATAGGGCTCCCCGGAGAAGGGGCGGGGCCTCCCGCCACCCAGGGGGGGCGGAGACAGGCCGGGAGCATCGAGGGGCGGAGCCGGCTCTTTCCTCGCCCGCTCTCTGTAAATCCCACCCTTTAGCCTGACTGGCAGCGCCTCTCGTCCAAGGGACAGCGGCGCCCGCAGAGCGCTAGCCAATGAGCGTCGCGCAGGGCGGACCCTCCGCGTCCCATACGGACATTTTCTCGGCTTCTCTCCACCCCTTTTCCTACACTCCCCCTCCCTCTCCCACCCCGCCTTTGGCATCCCCTTCCTGGGAGCTGGCAGCCAATCGGGCTGGCGGAAGGGAGGCTGTGCTGCGCGGGGATTGGCCGAGCTGCTGGAGTGGCAGCCGAACCGCCCTGTAGCCGCGCGGAAGACCTCCCCGGAGCAGGGGAGGGGCGGGATTTCTCAGGGAACAGAGAAGCGGGCAGCGCTCGGCGGCGGCCGTCCTGAGACGGTTGGTCTGTAGCCGCGGTCCCCCTTCCTATTCTCCCGACCCCCTCACGGGAGCCCGAGCCGTGCCTGGCCGCCAACTCGTCCGCCCAGGCCTGGCCCGGCCTTCTGCCTTTTCCTCAGCGCGGGGATCTGGCGCCCGGAGGAGAAAGACGGGAGCCCCGGACGAGGATTCGCCGCGCCGGCTCTGAGGCGAGGTGCTCACCGGCGGCCGCGGCGGCACGCAGGTGAGAGGTGAGGGGGGGCTCGAGGCGGAGAGGGAGGGGGCAGCGCGCGCGGCGTGACGAGAGCCGAGTCTGCGGGAGGGGGGCCGCGCGCGGCGAGAGGGCGGGGCCTGGAGGCGTGTGGCGCGCGCGCTCGAGCGTGCAGGGGAGGACGGGTCTGGCCGCCGCCTCTCCACCAATCGCGGCTCCGGGTGCTGCCCGGCTCCGCCCCGTCGCTCCCGAACGGCCGCGGCGGGCAGCCGCGCCGCCCCCGCTGTCCCTGCAGGCTCCGCCCCCTTTGCTCCTAGCTTGCCGCGCGGGCGGGCCGCCCGCGAGGCTCCTCCCCCTCCCGTCATGGCTTCCCCCCCTCCGGTGGCGGCATCCGCCTCGGCCCGGCGAGGCTCCTCCCCGGCGACGCGGAGGGGCGGGGCCGAGCCGGTCCCTCCTGCCGCCGACGCGGGCGGGCTCCTCCGGCCCATCATCCCCAGCCGGGGCGCGGTTCCTGCGGAGTGCTGCGAGGCCTCTTTCCTCCCCCCCCCGTGGCGTTTGGGGCGGGGGCTGCGGCTCCAGATGTGGGGGGGTTCCGTTCTTTGATGGGGGTTCTTTAGCCCTCCCCCTGGCAGCATCGCCCTTGCCCCCCTTTTCTCCCCGTTTTAGGCTAATTGGGGGGGCAGCCAAGGTCCAGCACATCTGGAGAGCCCCAGCTGGTCAGTTTCCTTAAATACCGAATTACAACATCTGGCCCATTGCGATTCCATGGTGATTTTATTATGGTTTTATTTTAATTTAATATCTCCTCTATAGTATTGTCCACATATATATTATATTATATATATATTTATACACACATACACACACACACACACACACACACACACAGGTGGTCCTCAAGTTAGACCCACAATGGAGCCCAATCATTTCCACTGCTAAGCTAGACACTCGTTAAGTGAGTTTTGACCCATTTTACGACCTTTCTTGGCAGAGCTGTTAAATGAATCACTGCAGTTCTTTAAATTAGCAACAGGGTTGTTGAGCGAGTCTGCTTCTCCATTGACATGGCTTGTGAGGAAGTCGTAAAAGAGAGTCAGGTGACACACATATGCACACACACACACCCCGGGACACTGCAACCGTCATAAATGTGTGTTGGTTGCCAAGCATCCGAATTTTGATCACGTGACCATGGAGATGCTGCAATGGTCATAAGTGTGAAAAACGATCCGAAATCACTTCATAAAGTGCCGTTGTAATTTTGGTCACTAAATGAACAGTTGTAAGTTGAGGATAAATATACTGACGCTTCATTCAGACTGTGTATCAGTGATTGCACGAACTCTGTAGATGCTATATGTCAGTAGTGGCGAACCTATGGCACGTGTGCCAGTGGCGGCACTCAGAGCTCTCTCTGTGGGCACGTGTGCCATGTCCCGGAGATGGCAACCGTCCTCTTCAACCAGCCGCCCGCTAACTCGCCGTGGTCCCACATGGCCAGATGCATCCCAGCACCCATGCACTTGCTGGCCTCTGTGTGCAGGGGCCGATGGTTTCAGGCAGCAGCCACCCTGGCCCCTGCCTCGCCTTGCCCTGCAACATGGCACCCCTGCCCGGCCTCGCCTCACCCCACAAGAACCAGCCTCCTGCTCACTGTCCCACCTGCCAGAGACCCCTGGATCTCCCCCATCTGCCGGGCCATGCCTACCCTGGCCATTCCCACCCATCTGCCATGATCACTGTAGCCATGCCCACCTAGCGGGCCACGCCCACCCGGCACCCAGCAATACATAAGTAGGTTTTGGGTTGATGTTTGGGCACTCGGTCTCTAAAAGGTTCGCCATCACTGCTCTATGTTAAATAAAGAGAGTGAGAGGAAGGCTGCTGTGCCCCAAATCTGCCCCCTTGCCCATTGCAGCTGGGGGGGGTCGTCCTTCCAGGGCTTCCTCACTTCCATCACCGCCTGCTAATTCCATCCTGTGCTGTTGAACACAAACACACTTGGCTGAGAAGCTGGGTGTTTCTGAAAGGATGGAACACGTGTGTGTGTGTGTGTGTGTATATGCGCACGCGCGCGGAATCTTCCTTAATTGTTGGGGCAGCAAAGAGAAATTAATGTAGGATATTCAAGGCGGGGGATCTAAGGATTGTCTTATTGCACTTTGTAAATGGAAGGGATCTTAGAGACCCTCTAATCTGGTCTTTCCTGAAGAAGTTGGTGGCTTTAAGACAGGGAGACTTCAATTCCCAGAATTCCCCAGCCAGTGTCTTCAAGATGTGGGGGAGTTCAATTCCCAAAACTGCTCAGAGCTTATAACCCATAGGATGCTTTCAACCCTGACAACTTTGAAGATTTGTGGACTTCAATTCCCAGAATTGTCCCCCAGCTGGCTGGGGAATTCTGGGAATTGAAATCCATATATCCTAAAAGTTGCCAACTTTTGAGAAACACTGCAGTCTGATCCCACCCTCTCAGCGGCGCCGGAATCCACTCCTCCTAAAACACCTTGAGAGATGGGTTATCCAGCCTCTGGATCCACCATTCTTCCTTCGATTATTTCAGTTTTTACTTTGGTGGCTGCATTTTATATGCTGCTCTTCAGGTATCCAGTGCTGGGGGGGGGCACATCACTGACAGGGAGGGGAAATGATTGGTCAGTTCTAACCTGAGCACCGAATTGCAAGCAGAAGTGATGAATGCAGCATCCCTGTGTCTGTTGGAGAAATCTCTGAGGATGTGGTGTCAGTCCAGATGCTCTTGCGTAGTGCAGTGTATGGGGACACACTTGTGAGACCTCAGTGGACTTTTGCATATTGGCTCCTTGCTCTTCAGCCAGTTGCTTTGAATCTGGTTTCACTGCCTTCTCTCTCTACTGGGCTTTCTGTCCTCAGATGCTCCATATCGCCACACCAACAGGCAGTCCTCGGTCAGACACCAGGGTGTGCTAAAATGGGATTTACTCCTATTAAGTCTCCTCTTGAGTGTGCTTTAAATGGAATGATTCAGTGCGCAGCGTTTGTGAGAGGCTGTTTAAATATAATAGTTGTTCGTGGTATGAAATTGTGAGGGCAAGTGGCTGGCGAACCTTTTCCTCTTGTTTATTTCCTATTTTAGGAATGCAAAGCTTAATTAATCCCCTGGTCAGAAATAGATAGCTAGCTTAGCATGGATGAGCGAGCACCTAATATTTCTCTCTGTTATAAGATTGTGGGTTTGGTTTCGTTTTTTTAACTGAGCTAATTTTTTTTTTCGTTGAGAAATCTGAGATTTTTTTTCATGTTTTATTCTGCATTGCTACTTAAATGTGCAGGATCTATTTGCAAAGTCTTTTGTAATGTTGTTAAGATTCCTTTATGTTTGGTTTGCCATCATGATGCAGTAGTATTTATAGTTCCTTGGGGCTAAAGTTTCATTTTATTTGTTTTTCTTTTTCATTTTATTTATTTTGCTGCTTGGATACCAAGAAAAAATGGCTTTGATCATCTGACAAACTGTTGGGTTTGCATAAGTATATCAATTTTAATAATTTATATGTTCATATTTTGAACTAAAAACACCAACTGGGTTTTATAAACCACGGTAGCTATGTTTGACTAAATCAGACGTGAGCAATGTTTTGGTTTAGTGTAAAATACTTAGATGCAAATCTCTTGATATAGTGGGATAAAGATAGGATGCTAGTCACAGAATATTTTTTTAATTCAAAAGGCTATGTAATTACGAACTCAAAACTCTAGGAACTATACTTAGATGTCACTTACATTACACACTTTATGGCAGGTGAAGAGTTGTTGGACAGAAGCTTTTTAGATCTTGAAAAAAAGTTGCATTCTGAATTTCCAATTTTTACTGGATTATATTTTACGCCTTCCAGTACATCGTAAAATATAATTCTGTCAGGTATCAGATCCTTTATTGTTTCAGTGAGCTTCTCAACCAGTCTGATGCATCAACAATAAAATTAGTTCATGCCTTTATTAATAATATGTATTTCACGGATTGATGTCATAATCCAGCTTTTTTCCAACCTGTGGCATCCCAAATGTATTGGATCAATAGATACATTGAACTATTGTTAAATATGTCTAGTGTTCCCCCCTCCTCCAAGCTTGGCAACTTTAAGATGTATGGACTTACAGTCTCAGCATCTTCAATTTCCCCCTTACTGGTGAAGGTTCGTCTTTTGATGTGAAATGCATTCTTCAGGTATATTTTCATGGATTAATTTTCATGTGTTCAGTGGCTCATTAAACATGTTCAATTATTGCAATGAAATGCCCGTACGTTTGTATAATTCATCTTCACCGCAGGCAGAAAGACAAAAGCACAGTCCTCATAGAAGGAATTAATATCTTAACTCCTTAAATACTTTCATTTTAGGTGCTGCAGAAGGCAAATTGGTAACCTCAGTCAACCTTAAACGGGATGATCATGCATGTAACACAGATCTGCAGACTTTGGGGTTTAAGCACGGGTACACGTATGTTAATTAGACCAAAGTATCTTTTCTGTTCTATAAATAAAAACTGATAGTAATCAAAGGCAGATGTTGGCTTCGGCAGGCACCGATTTGATTTGAGGGTGTGAAGGATGGGGGGGGAAACCATCTCATTTAATACATTTGTATTCTGGCAAGCAAGTTTAAGGAGGCCAGAGGGACAGGGGCTGGTGTCAAAAGAGAAAAGCGTTTCTAATTCTTCAGTATCCTTTCCAGCAGCTCTGTCTGCCTAATCCTGTGGGCAGTTCACTAGCAGCTGCTTCAAAGCACGCGCAAGGTGTGTGTTTCGTTGGGAGCAAAAGCATGGGAGGATATTTACTATGCTGCTCTGCTGCTGAATCCAAGTGACTCATTCATGCAACTGTGGTGCCAGTACAGCGTACAATAAATGCTTTAGATGCAATTAGTGCTCTCTCTCGCTCTCTCTCTTCTGACATGTTTCAGAATTAATACGCCAAGCGCAGTGTTTCTCAACCTTGACAATTTTAAGGCATGTGGACTTCAACTCCCAGAATTCCACAGCCAGCATTGCTGGCTGTGGAATTCTAGGAGTTGAAGTCCACATGGCTTAAAATTGTCAAGGCTGAGAAACACTGCGCCAAGGGAAGATGATGCATTACTTAATTCACTCCCGTTTAGCCTCTTGAGCCACAGGGGTTCTTAGATGCTGCAGATTATGATCGAGATATATTTAAAATATATATTTGATTCTGGAAGTTGGAGTCCACAGGTCTTAAAAGTTGCAAAGGATGGACACCCTTCACTTAGATCAGGGGTAGGCAATCTTGGCTCTTTTATGACTCGTGGACCTCAACTCCCAGAATTCCTGAGCCAGCATAGCTGGGAGTTGAGGTCCACGAGTCATAAAAGAGCCAAGGATGCCTACCCCTGACTTAGATCATTTAAGGCTGAGAGGGGGTGGTTGATTGCCTTTCCAGGTAGTCCTTGACTTAGAACCTTTTGTTTAATGACCGTTTGAAGTTACAACAGTCATGACCATTTTTCACACTTGCGATCATCGCAGTGTCCCTGTGGTCACATGATCAACATTCGGACGCTTGGCAACTGGCTCAAATTGATGACGGTTGCAATGTCCTGGGGTCAGGTGATCCCCTTTTGCGACCTTCTGACAAGCAAAGTCAATGTGGGAACTCACTTAACAACTGTGTTACTAGTTCAACTAATTACTAATTTAAGAGCCGTGGTGGTGCAGTGGTTAAAGTGCAGTACTGCAGGCTAATTCTGCTGACTGCCAGTAGTTCGGCAATTCGATTCTCACCAGCTGAAGGTGGACACAGCCTTCCTTCCTTCCGAGGTCGGTAAAATGAGGACCCAGACTGTTTGGGGGAGCAAGATGCTGACTCTGTAAATTGCTTAGAGAGGGCTGTAAAGCACTGTGAAGGGGTATATAAGTGCTATTGATATCTACTGATCCATCCATCCATATATCCTCTATCTGTATATCTGGTGGCACAGTGGTTAGAATGCAGCATTGTAGGCAGACTCTGCCCACAGCCAGGAGTTCGATCCTGAGGGCTCAAGGTTGACTCAGCCTCTCATCTTTCCGAGCTCAGTAAAATGAGGTCCCAGATTGTTGGTGGCCATATGCTGACTATAAACCAGTGATGGCGAAACCTTTAGAGACCAAGTGCCCCAAACCCACTTATGTATCGTCAAGTGCTAGGTGGGCATGGCTGCGGTGGCAACAGAAGACTGGGTGAAACTAAAAAGTTCAGTCAATCAATTCCAACTTTGTGAGATCTTTTTTTTCCCTGAGAGAAGTTGAAATTGATTGATTGAACCTTTTTTTTTTTTTTTTTGCACACGGTGACAGAGGCCTAAAACGAAAAGGTTTTATAAAACCCAGATGAAGGCCTAGGACTCGGGCGAAGGCGCACGTGCCCACAGAGAGGGCTCTGCGTGCCACCTGTGGCACGCATGCCATAGGTTGGCCATCACGGCTATAAACCGTTTAGACGGGGCTGTAAAGTACTGGGAAGCGGTATATAAGTCTGTGCTACTGCTATTAACTGCAGTGATTCACTTAACAACTGTGGCAAGAAAGGTGGTAAAACGTGGCAAAGCTCCCTTAATAACTTTCTCCCTTAGCGACAGAAAGTTTGGGCTCAGTTCTGGCCGTTAAGTCGAGGCCTGTTTGATCCCTTTCCGTCTCTCCGCAGGATTCGTAGCGCTTTCCTGAGCATGAATTCAGAATGAAGCGGCGAGTGGAGGAACAGGAATCGCCCGTCTATGCGTCCCAGCAGAGACGCATTGCCAGCAGCGCCGAACCCTTCCAGCACCAACATCGCGTGCTCGCTCCGGCCCCCCCTGTATATGAATCTGTTTCGGAGACCATGCAATCCGCTACCGGGATCCAGTACTCGGTCACTCCCAGCTACCAGGTAAGAGAGGGGCTGCCAGATAAGAGCTGAAGTGACTCCTGGGAGAAGAAGCTGCACAACAGTGAAAAGTGGTGTTTGTTCTCCTGCCTTTGAGAAATTCTTGCGCTCTTAGTCGGAAGCAGACACTTTAGTTACACAATCGTTGCAGTTCCCTGAATTCCTATGAGCACAGGGGCCATAGCAAACAAGGAGGCTTGTAGTGATGTAAAAGGGCCTGGACCTTCTAAACCACAATTCTGGGAGTTGAAGTCCACGAGGCTTAAAGTTGCTGAGCTTGGAGATCCCTGCTCAAGATAATACACATAGTCCTCGCCTTAACAACAGTTTATTTAGTGACCGTTCAAAGTTACGACGGCACCGAAAAAAGTGAGCTATCACCATTTTTTAACATAACCGTTGCAGCATTCCCCCCCCCCCCCGGTCATGGGATCAAAGTTTGGGGGCTTGTCCGCCGGCTCACATTTACGACGGTTGCAGCCTCCCTTTTTACGGCCTTCCAACCAGCGGAGTCCACAGGGAAGCCAAATTCGCTTAACAACTGTGTGACCCAGCTGAACCACTGCCCCGATTCACTTAATAGCTGTGGTCAGAAAGGTCGTAAAGCAGAGGCAAAACTCACTGAACAGCTCAGTTAAGTGAGTCATAAGTTAGATTTTTTTTTTTTTTGAGACGGTTCAGCTAGTAGCATCACCCAGATTTTTATTTTATTTTTTTTGCCTCCACTGAAAGAAGGATTCCTTGCCCTTGTGTGAACGTGGGCGAGGTCCTGCTGGTCTGTAAGCTCCACGGCTTTTCTTCCCTCCGCCTCACCAGGTGTCCACGGTTCCCCAGAGTTCCAACAGCCATGGACCCACCTTAGCCACCGTCCACAGCGGGCACCACCACCCCACCCCTGTCCAGCCCCATGGGAGCCAAGTGGCGCAAAGCCATGCTCACCCAACTCCACCAGCAGCGCCAGTCCAGGGGCAGCAGCAGTTCCAGAGGCTGAAGGTGAGTCCGGCCGGAGGGGCCAGGGGCGCATGAAGCATCGTCAAACTCAGCCGTAAAAAGAAATTCCGTGGTTTTTGTGCAGGTGTGTTGAGCTGCGTTTTGATACGTGGCGATTGTGCCTTTTGTTCACAGGTGAACTGTTTGTGCTTTTTGGATGAGTTGGTTTTATCCTCCCCCCCCCACACACACACAAAACCACATTGGATATATTTGTTGGTTTATTCGTTTATGTGCTCCACTTTTAGATTCTAACCTCTTCATACTTTTCGGTGGGAAACCAGTAAAGACACAGCAGTGTTGATTCACTCCACTCCTCCTTCCATCCTCAGTGGTGTAGAAAATGAAATTGCTGCTTTGGCTGCTAACAGCTTTGGAAGACTTTGTGTTTAGCTTAACATTTAATCACTTGATCATTTTCCTAAACGCTTTGTGCTGAGCGGTGCAAAAAGCATTAAAGCTTTGGAAGTGAAGTCAGTTCTGAATGCTTTGAATAGGGTGTATTTCTAGGACAGGGATAGGCAACTTTGGCTTTTTTATGACTCATGAACTTCAACTCCCATGGCTGGCTCAGGAATTCTGGGAGTTGAAGTCCATGAGTCATAAAAAGAGCCAAGGTTGCCTACCCCTGCTCTAGGAGAACAGTAAAATACCTCGGAACCATTCCTTTTAATCTAATAATAGATTTAAATTGAAATTAACCTTTTAAATTTAAGTTTATTACAGCTCATTTCTTTTTTATCAGCCAAACCAGTCTTCCTGATCCCACGGGAGTTCAATTCTTTTACTTAAAATTTGTTGGGAACTTACTGCTTCATAAATGTTTTTAGGCCTTCAGTTCAGTTTTGAACATTTAAATAAGGTTCACGTTTATCAATATTCTATTGCTAATATCTGGACCAAGTTTACCCTTGAAAGCGTGGAGATGAAATGTTGTTGGAAAGGGATGTTTTTAACATGGGTTATTTTGGCTGCAGGTGGAAGACGCTCTTTCCTACCTTGACCAGGTGAAGCTGCAATTTGGTAGCCAGCCTCAAGTCTACAATGACTTCTTGGACATAATGAAGGAGTTTAAATCTCAAAGGTATACAGAATGGCTGCTTGTCTACGTTGGTTTTTATTTTCCTTCATTTGATGGGAATCCAACTGTTAACGGCTTGTTCAGTGAACAGTAGTGAACATAAATGTAGTCTAATGCATAAAACTTGACTGGTCTTATAATAATTCTGTCTTTTATCCCCAAACGCTAATGTCTGTCTAAGTTTTCCTGTAGTTATTTTCCTCTGTGGCGGACTATAGAATCTAGTGGGCTTGTGGCCATAAGGCAGTGTTTCCCAAACTTGACCATTTTAAGGCATGAGGACTTCCAACTCCCAGAATTCCACAGCCAGCGTTGCTGGCTGTGGAATTCTGGGAGTTGAAGTCCTCATGCCTTAAAATGGTCAAGTTTGGGAAACACTGCCATAAGGGATGCATCTGAATACAGCTTGTCTTTACCCATGTCGGAATTTGTGCCAGGTGTCTGACCTCTTTCTTTTCCTTCCTCTGGCTTCCTGCGCAGCATCGACACTCCAGGGGTGATCAGCCGCGTCTCTCAGCTCTTCAAAGGCCACCCAGATTTGATCATGGGTTTCAACACCTTCCTGCCTCCCGGCTATAAAATCGAAGTCCAGACCAACGACATGGTGAACGTAACCACCCCGGGGCAGGTGCATCAAATCCCAGCCCATGGTCTCCAGCCACAGCCCCCGCCGCAGCCCCAGCACCCGTCTCAGCCCTCGGCACAATCTGCTCCCACCCCAGCACAGCCAGCACCGCAGCCGCCACCCGCCAAGATCAGCAAGGTCAGCGCAAGCTAAATAGGCGGGCTTGGCTTAGGAACGGGAAGGCAGGAGCTCAAGCCACGAGGGTTTCTGAGCATCGGAGCTGCTGATGAAAGAATGGAATGGAATGGAAAGTAGAATAGAATATGGAATAGAACAGTGGTGGTGAACCTACGGCACGGGTGCCAGAGGTAGCACTCAGGGCCCTCTCTGTGGGCATGGGTGCCATCACCCTAGTCCTAGGCCTTCAGCTGGGTTTTATAAAACCTTTTCGCTTGAGGCCTCCGCCGTGTGCAAAAAAAAAAAAGTTCAATCAGTTAATCAATTTCAACTTCTCGCAGGAAAAAAAAAGATCTTGCAAAGTTGGAATTGATTGATTGAACTTTTTAGTCCCAACCAGTCTGCCATTACCACTGCAGTCACGCCCACCCAATGGGCCACGCCCAGCCAGTGGCATCCACCCGGCACACGACGATGCATAAGTGGGTTTTGGGGGTGCAGTTTGGGCACTCAGTCTCTAAAAGGTTCACCATCACTGGAATAGAACAACAGTTGGAAAGGACCTTGTAGGTCATCTAGTCCAACCCCCTGCCCAAGCAGGAAGTGCTCTTGAAGGACAGGCGAAGGCCCTAAGAAATGACATTTAAGGGTGGAGTTTACAAAACAGCTGAGGTGTCAAACTGCTGGCCACAGAAGCCACATCCATCCCGGCTCCAGCCAGGGGAAAAAGTCACGATATGTTGCAACACGTCATGTGATGCAACGAGTTTGACACCCCTGATTTACAGGAAGTCCTCAGCATACGACCCCGGTTGGAACTAGAATTTCCTTTGCAGGTGGTCCTTGACTTACGACCACAGTTGAGGCCCAGATTTCTGTTGCTAAGTGAGACGTTTGCTAAAGTGAATTTTGCCCTGTTTGAGGACACTTTGTTGCCACAGTTGTTAAGCAAATCACTGCATTGGTTAAATCAATAACATGGTCGTTAAGTGAGCCTGGCTTCCCCCGTGGACTTTGCTGGTCAGAAGGTCACAAAAGGGGATCAGGTGACACCCCCCCCCCAGGACACTGTGGCTGTCATAATATGAGTCACCCGATGTCCGAATTCTGATCACGTGACTACAGGCATGCTGCAATAGTCCTAGGTGTGAAAACTGGTCACAAGTCACTTTTTTCAATGCCAGTTTAACTTCAGTCACTAAGCAAATTGTTGTAAATCGAGGATTACCTGTAGATGCCGCTTGCCAAGCAACTTAATTCTGATCACCTGACCCTGGAGGTGCTGCAGTGGTCTTAAATGTGAGGACCGGTCCTAAGTCAGTTTTTTTTTTTTTTTAGTGTCCTTGTAACTTGAAATGGATGCTAAGCAGATGGTCATAAGTGGGGGGCTGCCTGCAGTTACATCCCTCTGGCCCAAAGCCACCCTAACCGTTCGGCTCTGCTTTTCTAGCCCTCCCAGCTACAGGCGCACACGCCCACCAGCCAGCAGGCCCCTCCCGTCCCCTACGCGTCGCCTCGTTCTCCGCCGGTCCAGCCCCACACGCCCGTGACAATCTCTCTGGGGACGACCCCGTCCCTGCAGAACAATCAGCCGGTCGAGTTCAATCACGCCATCAACTACGTCAACAAGATCAAGAACCGTTTCCAAGGGCAGCCGGACATTTATAAGGCTTTCTTGGAGATCCTCCACACCTATCAGGTGAGTCAGCCAGCTGTTCCTTCTGAGGTTTACTCTGAAATTGGAGAGCTGTGTTTGTGTGTGTGTGTGTGTGTTGAGCAGAAGATTTTTTTTTTGGCAAAGCAGGAGGAGTTTTGTCAATGGGCAGTGGGAGAGAGAGTAACGCCTGCTTGGCGATAAATAGTTGGAATTTGCTTCTCTGCTGCAAGAGGGAAGCTTTGTCCATTAAGTGTAAAAGAAACCCTGAAATAGATGCAGGTGGAGCTAAGGAGAGGTGATTGGCCTCTCCGGTGTCCGATTTTGGGTGACAACTTTGGGGCAAAGCACAAACCGCCTCCAATGTCTTTTTCAGCAACTCTTCTTTTGAAATCGGGGGGGGGGGGTTCCTCATTTTTTAAAAAAATATTTTTTTAAGGCTCAGAGAGCAGAAATGGACGAAGGGCAGCTCCTTAAAGTCTTTCTTTCTTTCTTTCTTTCTTTCTTTCTTTCTTTCTTTCTTTCTTTCTTTCTTTCTTTCTTTCTTTCTTTCCTTCCTTTCTTTTTTTTTCTTTCTTGAACCTTCCTCCTCTGTCTCCTAACAGAAAGAACAGCGAAATGCCAAGGAAGCCGGCGGGAACTACACCCCGGCGTTGACTGAACAGGAAGTCTATGCCCAGGTGGCACGCCTCTTTAAGAACCAGGAGGACTTGCTCTCCGAATTTGGGCAGTTCTTGCCAGACGCAAACAGCTCGGTTGTGAGTGATCTCTAATCTGACAACTTGCATTGACTTCCAGTTCCCGGCAAACCACCTCCGGGTGAACCCTGGGTTCATTTAGCAGCCCGAGACGCTTGTTTAATGACCGCTGCAAAACAAAAAAAAGATTGTAAAATTGGATCGGTCCCATGAGTCATCCCATTTAGACCATCACAAGTTTATTTTATTTTATTTTAGTATATTGGTAAAATTGATTGGGCTGCTCCTCTTTCCAAAAGGTAACTGGGCAGCTTACAGTCATAAAAGATAGATCTACATTAAAACGTAAATAAATTAAAACCAAAGAACATGTGGGGAGGACGGGGCGGAGTAGGGGGGAGGTGGGATCTGTTATTACCCAATCAGCCACTTCCACTGTGCTGTTTCCCCATTGGGCCTCAAGCCAATGGGCAGAGCCAGGTCTTTAGGGCCTTACAAAAGGATAGGAGGGTTGGGGCCAACCTCACATTGAGGGGGCTGGATGTTTCAGAGGGCAGGAGCCACAGCAGAGAAGGCCCTCCTCCTGGACGCAAGGGCCAGCCAAAATAATCAGGCTGACGGGACCCACAGCAAGCTGCCTCTGTTGGCATACGTGGGGCAGGCCATTCCCATTGGGGTGAGACGGTCCCTCAAGTAACCTGGACCCACAACTGTGATGGGCCAGCTCCTTTACAGTCGTAACTCAAGGAGTATCTGTATATGATTTGAGCAGAACGTGACCCTAAGGTCAAAAATCATTTTTATCTTCAGGTGGCCTGTATTCATAGCCCCTTAACTGGTTAATTCTTGTGAAACATTTTTACATGTTCTCATCACAACCTTGTTTGTGGTTCTTTCCGATCAGCTCTTGAGCAAGACCACTGCCGAGAAAGTGGAGTCCGTGAGAAACGATCACGGAGGCACCATTAAGAAACCCCAGCTCAACAGCAAGCAGCAGAGGCCCAATCAGAACGGCTGCCAACTCCGGAGGCACGCCACCACGGGGGTGACCCCACCAGTGAAGGTGAGACCCTCCGTTACCACTTTCACCTCAAGGCTGCAGTTGGTGGCAATTGCACAGTAGTTGGCCATACGCGCTTAGCAAATAAAAACAATATGCTACCTGCTAATGTTCCATCCTGATCTTCTCCCAATAATAATATAGTGCTTTAATTTTAGGAACTAGTTAAGAACACCTAAGGGATCTTTAATGCTATAAAACTATATTTTCTACAGCACTTTCCCATTTTACTGATGTTATTGAATTAAGAATTTCAGTAGGATAGACTGTGCTACATGAGGCACACCAGAAACTTAATTTCTTAATCGTTCAGGTCTGGTCTGGCCCTGGAAAAGGAAATGAGAAAAAGATGTAACCCTGAGTCAATTAGGGAACTACTGATCTACAACTGCAGTTTCTTTTTAAGTCCATGTTTAGTCTGCCTGGATAATAATCTAAATTTAAATTGATTACGTAATTATTCCATATTTCCCAAGGAAAAGAACTATAACCCCTGTCATTCAAATTTCGCGTCCCTTAATTCGGGGGTCTCCAACCATGGCAACTTTACAACTTATGGACTTCAACTCCCAGAATTCCTCAGCCTTAATTAACAGCTTTAGCCTGCCTTAATTAACAAACTCTTGTCCTATCAAAGTGGTATTGATAACTGTGCAGTTATTCCTCTCCTGTTGTTTAACTACAAATTTAAAATGTGTTGTGGTAGATGTCACTTATTTATTCTTTTTGGGGGGGGGTTATTTGGGTGCTTGCTTTCTCTCTCCAGAAGAAACCAAAGCTTAATTTGAAGGACCCATCCTTTGCAGAAGCTGGCAAACATGGGACAGAGTCTCTGTTCTTTGACAAGGTAAGAGCGCGGATAAAACCTGTTTGCCTTGCTTAGCAAAGGAAATTCTTATCTCAGTTGTTGTAAGTCGAACATTATTTGTAAGACAGAAGTTGACTTTTATGTTTTATGACATTTTTCAGCTGTTCAACGGTTACTGCATGTAGGGGGTTATCTGGGGTCCACAAGGGATTGTAGCTTGGGTCGTGATGCGTTCCTCCTTGCCCTTTGGCTCTCCCTGCAATAAATAGACCCATTTCCCAGCTCCACGTACGTCGTGACTGTTGGTTGATGAGCTTAGAATTGTGCTAATAGGAGAGGATTGAATTGTTCCTTTGCGGGAGAGGCTCATCATCTCTTTTCCCACTTTCTCGTCCTTCTTTTTCTCTTCCGATCCCACCGTTCAGGTCCGCAAGGCGCTGCGTAGCACAGAGGCCTACGAGAATTTCCTCCGCTGCCTCGTCATTTTCAATCAGGAGGTCATTTCCCGAGCTGAGCTCGTACAGCTGGTTTCTCCATTTCTGGGGTAAGCGGACTTAACTAACTGGCCCTTTAATGTGCTCCCTTGTGGGACAGACGACATACAGCGAAGAACTGAAAATAAGCTGCCTAAAGTTGCTTGGATAGTGAAATGGGCAGGGGGTAAATTTAATAAATAAATAATACATAAATTAACAGGCAGAGAGCATCATGCTTGTTCCCTCTGCCAGCCAGCTCAGAGTTCAAGGAGTAGAGATATTTCTTTCCCAACTATTGGCAAAGTCTGTTGGTACCAGAACAGCAAATTTCACGGCAGAAGGTGAAGGGAGGAATGTTTTAAATAGGCAGAGGTTGCATCTTTCCCTGTATAAGATCATTAACAGCCCATTAAAAGTTTAAATCTCACTAAGAAGCGTAAAAATCTCTCTGCCGCAGCAACGCTAAGCTAGTGTATTCGAACTGCATTGGTTTTCATTTCGTTCTTTTTCAGAAAATTCCCCGAGTTGTTCACTTGGTTTAAAAATTTCCTGGGCTACAAAGAATCCGCACATCTGGAGAGCTTCCCGAAGGAGCGAGCTACCGAGGGGATAGCGATGGAGATAGACTATGCTTCGTGCAAACGGCTGGGCTCCAGCTACCGAGCCTTGCCTAAAAGTTACCAGCAGCCCAAATGCACAGGCCGGACACCGTTGTGCAGGGAGGTAAGCTGGCCATCTCCCCCCCCCCCCTTTGAGGATGGGGATGCTGCTGAAACCTAGCAAGAGTGACATGGCCTCCAGGGATTCTTCCCCCCTCCCCCCCAAATAATTACAGGTAATTATTGGTTTATGACAGCCATTGGGACTGGAATTGCTGTAACTAAGCAACACAGTTGCTTAGTTACAGCATTTGACCATGCTGCTTAGCATAGCAGTTACAGCAGTCCTGGTGGTGTAGTTACGCAAGGACCTCGCTTGACTCGAGACTTCTGATTTCCTGCCGTCTTCCCCATTGACTTCGTAGGAAGCCGGCAGGGAGTGTCGGAAATTGTGATCATGTGATCGCAGGACACTTCAGTGGCCAGGTCCCCTTGTTCAGCTCCGTTGTAAGTTTAAATGGTCGCTGAACAAATGGTCATAAGCTGAGGACTCCCTGTATGGATATTACCACGTCTTCCCTTTTTCATGTATCCCATGGGCTCCATTACTAAGCTGAGTGGAACCGATGAAAGGAAGAGCCAAGAGTCTGAAACTTATCCGGGGAAGACGTGGAGAAGACCAGCAGGATACCCAAGAGACTTAAAAATGACCAGTGAAAAGGATTAAATCTCTCCATGAATGTGAAGTTCCTTCCGTGGGGGATACCCATAACATGAGGTCTTTATTGAATGCATTATCAGGTTGGGCTTAAAATTCCCTTTTTAAAGCCTGGCCCACTATGGCAGGGGTCCCCAACCCCTGGTCCGTGGACCAGTACCAGCCTGCATTATGCCTGCAACCAATTCATACAAACAAGCAAAACCCCATCTGGGGGGTGCAGGCAGCACACAAACCAAAGCACTTTCCAGTCCATGGAAAAACCTTTCTCCACGGACCGGTCCCTGGTGCCCAAAAGGTTGGGGACCTCTGCACTACGGGATGTGCTAATAGTATTCCTGTAGTATCTCAGGAAGCAGCAATCCTTTTTTCACCCGCAAGGGGGCGCCCTTGTAGAGCAGACCATTCCCTTGTGATATTTCCTGATGATTTTCAGACCTAACCGGAGAGGAGTCAGGAATGTCCTCTCTGCAGTCCGATCAGCCTTTTTCCATAGCTGCCAGAATAACGTTTTATCTTGTTGGCAGTAACCCTCTTTTTTCTTTCTCCGCTGCTTAGGTTTTGAACGACACCTGGGTCTCCTTCCCATCCTGGTCCGAAGATTCTACGTTTGTGAGCTCGAAGAAGACTCAGTACGAAGAGCACATCTACCGATGCGAGGACGAGCGGTTTGAGGTAGGGCCTTAAATTTCCCGGTACGGTTATCAGAGACTCAGATGGCAAATAAAAGTATTAGCAACTGGAAGAATCGGCATCAGGCGGCATTCCCCAATTTTGACAGCTCCCGGCTACAAGCAGTCCTTGGATTAGCGACCACAGTCGAGCGCAAATTTCTGCCACTAAGCCAGACAGTCCTTAAGTGAATTTGGCCCCATCGGATGACTTTCCTCGCCAAGTGAATCATCGCACATGTTAAGTCAGTCACAGGGTCGTTAAGCCAACCTGGCTGCTTCCCCATGGACTTTTGCTTGTCATGAGGTCAAAAAAGGGAACACGTCACACACACACACACACCGGGACACTGAGACCCGTCATAAATAGGAGTCAGTTGTCAAGCCTCTGAACTTTGGTCACGTGACCAGGGAGAGGCCGCAGTGGTCGTAAGTGTGGGGAAGTGGCCATCAGTCACTTTTCCCAGGAACAGTCACAAAATGAAAGGTGGTAAATCAAGGACTCCCTGTATATTTGAAATCAAATCCCACTTGGGAAGTTGAAATGCAGCCTTTTCCTGCGATGCTGTGGAATTTTCCCAAGTCAGATAGTTAGCTTGCGTTATGAGCTCATTTCCTTAGCCTGGCTAATTGAGCTTTTTTTTTTTCCCTTTCTCAGCTGGATGTGGTCTTGGAGACCAACCTAGCCACCATCCGGGTCTTGGAAACGATACAGAAGAAACTCTCCCGCTTATCGGCGGAAGAGCAAGCCAAATACCGTCTCGACAACACCTTGGGGGGCTCGTCCGAAGTCATCCACCGCAAAGCTCTGCAGAGGATATACGCAGACAAAGCTGCCGACATCATCGATGGCCTTCGGAAAAATCCAGCCGTCGCCGTCCCCATTGTGTTGAAAAGGTATCCATCCGGTCATCGGGGAAGTAAAGACGAACGTTCGAACCGAACGGAAATGAACGTTGAAAGGTTTCAGGGTCAAAAGAAAAGCGCTAGGCAAGCGTTGATGTTCTTCTGAGGTCTGGAATCATCTATGGCAGTGCTTCTCAACGTTTGTGTGACGGCGACCCCCGTCACACAAATGTTCTGCGCATGCGTGGCGCCGCGCACATGGGGGTGGGGCCCCACGCGCGGCGCGCATGCGCGGCGCCGTCCCCATGTGCAGCGCGCATGCGTGGCGCCCCATGTGCGTGGCGCCCCCATGTGCAGCGTGCATGCGTGGCCCCCCATGTGCAGCGCGCATGCACGGCGCCGCCCCTATGCACAGCGCGCATGCGCGGGGCTGCCCCCATGCACAGCACGCATGCGCGGCTGCGCGAAAAATGGCAGATCGCCACTTTTGGCGACCCCCGAAAAATGGTCGATCGACCCCAACTGGGGTCGCGACCCATAGGTTGAGAACCGCTGATCTATGGTGGCCTGTCGCATCTCAGTTCTTGGGGTTGAGGTAGATGTAGGATGGGGTGATCCTCAGGACATCCACATTCAAAGCTGTAGATGCCTTTCAAAGTTGAGAAAGACTAGGAGCCATTACATCTGGCCAAGCATTGATGTAATTTATCATCTAGCCATGATTAGCCATCTGATTCCAGAGGAACTGAGATTTTCTAACTATCCCAAAGCAAAGGTGTCTCTAAAACCAGTGTTTTTCAACCTTGGGTGGACTTCAACCTACGTCTACTGTCTTAAAGTTGGCAGGTTGAGAAACACTGATCTAAAACATGGCTTGATAACTGAGAAGGCCAGCATTGGCTGGGTTTTTTTTTTCAACCTGGGATCTTCAGCTACGTCAGCCTGGCTGGTTGAGAACAAGATAAATTGTGATGTTTACACATCTGGCTGGTGCCAGGTTCACAAAGCTGGATTTTAGGCATATCTGTTAGGCCGTGCCCCCTTTTTTTGTAGATCTCAGAAGCCCGAACTCACAGGTGAATCTCACAACTCACCTGGGAGAATTCCGTTAAAGTTTCTCCTTTGAAGTTCAACCCTACTGGGATTCAGTTTATACTGGAAACAGCCGTTCTGATGCAGGGAAGGAATGGGAAGAGTGGGGAAGGGGAACGTTAGGTAGAAATAAGCTGCTTCAGTTACCCAGGAAAGGAGACCACGAGAACGTGGATGGTTTTATATTGCCAGAAATTTTCACCCACATCTGTCAGGAGGAATCTGATCAAGCCATCGGATGTTCTAAACCAGGGGTGGAGAACCTGGGCTCTTTTATGACTTGTGGACTTCAACTCCCAGAACTCCTGAGCCAGCCAAGGGCCATAGTTCCTCCATGCTGGCTCAGGAATTCTGGGAGTTGAAGTCCCCAAGTCATAAAAGGGCCGTAGTTCCCCCATGCTGGCTCAGGAATTCTGGGAGTTGAAGTCCACAATTCATAAAAGGGCCAAGGTCCTAAACAAAGATGTCTCTCACACCCCCTCTCTTTTTTTTTTGGTCTTCCGGCCTAGATTGAAAATGAAAGAAGAGGAATGGCGGGAAGCCCAGAGGGGATTCAACAAAGTGTGGCGGGAACAGAACGAGAAATACTATTTGAAATCCCTGGATCATCAGGGCATCAATTTCAAGCAGAACGACACCAAGGTCCTGCGATCCAAGAGTCTTCTGAGTGAGATTGAGACCATTTACGACGAGGTGCGTTTGAGGTTCCTTTCTCTGCCTTCGCTCGGGCCATTCGCTTCGAGTCCGGTTCGGTTCCTCCCTGACCACTTGCGGAGAAGAAGAAAGTAGTCGGTGTTCTTAGGACTTCAGAATTTGTTGGAGGGGCTCCAGGTGTCTGCTTTTTGAAGGCTTCGTACTTCATCATAAATTCAGTAGAATTTCCTTATGAGATTGAATGGTAGCTTCTGTTTTCTTCTTTCCATTCCTTCGTGCTTCCAAAAGGAACTGGAATGACATTACTGGCCCTTGGCTGATAAATCTATTATTGAAAGATGTCCAACCATAGTTCTTCTCCAGAAAGGGCCTCTTTCTGTCCTATTTCCATTTGCTACAGGCAGATGAAGGTGTCCGTGCTTCAAGAGTTGAGAATAGTGGGGCACAAGAAGCCAGAGGTCCCCAACCTTTTGGGCACCAGGGACCGGTTCCATGGAGAAAGGTTTTTCCACGGACCGGAGAGTGTGTGGTTTTGTGTGCTACCTGCATCTCGCGGATGGGGCTTTGTTTGTGCGAACTGGTTGTTGGCATACTGTGGCCAGGTATCGGTCCATGGACCGGGGGTTGGGGACCCCTGCAGTAATCCACAGTTTATGGAAGAAACGGAGAGCTTGTTTTCTCTTAAATCACCACTGCAGTGATCTAAGCAGTTCCACTGTTCCATAACATTTGTCTCGGATCCGAATAGAGATCTGGTCTGGAATTGATAAGGGCGTGTTTCAGACTTGAGGGATCCAGTGTCATGAGATATTGGATCTTTTTTTCTGCTCAGTAAAGGACATCAGTCATTCCACGATCTAGCAAGAATCCTCTGATGTCCATTCTTTGCTGTAGAGCCTGGTGTTGGTTGATGGATTTCAGAATTTGTTGTAGCTCCTTTTAGTCATTGTTGAATCCCACCAATTTTTCCTTCAACGTTGACTTTTCAAAGAAGAGTCATGAGAACGCTGAAGAACATCTAGAGGAAACGCTGCTCAGGTTGTCCTTTTGCTTTGGGGCAATTGAGGGAAGCAGCAGAAGCTAGCAGAGAGAAGGTGTCCTTCCTCTCCATCAGCAGGAATTTGTAGCAGGAGAAGAGGGAGGGAGAGGGGGAGAGAGAGACTTACTTGAAAAGCAACAGGGAGGATGCGTTCGCTTACTTTTATGCTATTAAATGTGAATTAATTAATGACTTGAGAATTATGTCAGATTTATCCCAAAGGTGCTTTTTCATGAGGCAACTGGACTTCCTTGTTTTTCTTTGAAGACTGAAGAAGCTTCTTGGAGGAGAAGCGAAACGTCTTCAAAGAGAAACGAGATGACCTGGATGACTGAGAATCTCCCTAGATATTCCAGCCTTATTTGTTTCCTGGGTTTTTCAGAGGCAAGAGCAAACGTCTGAAGACAACACCGGCCCTCACCTGTCCCTGGCTTACGAGGACAAGCAGATTCTGGAAGACGCAGCCTCCCTGATCATCCACCATGTGAAGCGTCAGACGGGCATCCAGAAAGAGGACAAGTACAAAATCAAGCAGATCATGTACCACTTCATCCCGGACCTCCTCTTCGCTCAGCGAGGGGAGCTCTCTGACCTGGAGGAGGAGGAAGAGGAGGAGATGGACGTGGACGAGAACTCGGGGGCGGTGAAGAAGCACAACGGAGTGGGGGGCAACTCCCCCAAAGCCAAACTGCTCTTCAGCAGCACCGCAGCTCAGAAGTTGCGCAGCCTGGACGAGGCCTACAATCTTTTCTATGTCAACAACAACTGGTACATCTTCCTGCGCCTCCACCAGATCCTGTGCCTGCGGCTGTTGCGGATCTACAGCCAGGCGGAGCGGCAGATTGAGGTGGACAGCCGGGAGCGGGAGTGGGAGCGGGAAGTGCTGGGAGTGAAGCGAGAGAAGAGTGACACTCCGGCCATCCAGCTGCGCTTGAAAGACCCCAGTGAGTGGCTCTCTGGGGCGGGGGAGACGCTGGCCGGCCGTGGGGGAGGGCAGCGCAGGTGGGCTCTCGGCCCTGCCCAGGCTTGGTCCTTTAGTTGAGGAAGACCCTCGGCTCCCTCTGTGGCCAAAAACGTGACGCTTTTACTAAAAGCCAAGCGCTCTACTGTGATCTGCGTGGCTTTTAGTAAAAGCACAGGCAGTCCTTGACTTACGACCACATTGTCTTACGACCCAAAATGTCTGTGGTTAAGTGAAGTTTGCCCCCAATTTACGACTATTCTGGCCACCGTTGTTAAGTGAAACTGGCTTCCCCGTGGATTCTGCTCGCCTAACTGGCAGGGCTGGCGCGTCCCTTGCAAGTCCTTCTAATGACTTTGTTCTGCCCCTCTCTCCCACTTCTGCCCCCTCTCCCCACCCCTCCACCCAAATTTTAGTGGACATCGAAGTGGAAGACTACTACCCTGCTTTCTTGGACATGGTGCGGAATCTCCTAGACGGCAACATGGATTCCTCTCAGTACGAGGACTCGCTGCGCGACATGTTCACCATTCACGCTTACATTGCCTTCACCATGGACAAGCTCATCCAGAGTATTGTCAGACAGGTGTGTGTGTGTGTGTGTGTGTGTGTATGTGTGCACAGTAGTTGAAAGAGAGAAGGGGGAAAGCAGTGCCAGAGATGGATGCTTATCGCCTGTATAAGTCTACAACTTCAAAAGTTGACGTGGCCCCAGCAAGAAGCGGGAGTCTCCATGGCTTCAAGGACCTTTAAGGGGAAGGCACTCGCTTGCCCTCCCCAACCCTTTCCCAGACAAGTTGTGGCCACCGCTGGGCTGCGCCCCATGGCTGCACAGACTGGCTGCTGGAAGCAGAGCAGCGGGGCAGGACAACGCCTCTGCTCAGCTTCCTGCCCTGATGGCCCCGGGGCCAAGGGAAAGAGGTAAGAAGTTCAGCCGTTGGAGGTGTTTTTGCCTAGACCTGTTGCCTGCTGGCACAGCTGGCCTAAGGCGCAGCTTCTGCACGGTTGAGGAAAAGCTGCACCTGGTGCTTGAGCTTCCCAAAAAAGCATCTTAATGTTCTTTCTCCCTCTCTCTCGCTCTCTCTCTCTTTTTAAATTTTCAGCTCCAGCACATAGTGAGCGATGAAATCTGCGTGCAGGTGACCGAGCTCTACTTGTCGGAGAGCCACAACGGTGCGACGGGAGGGCTGCTGACCTCACAGCCCTCTCGCTCCCTGGTGGAAACGGCCTATCAGCGCAAAGCCGAGCAGTTGATGCAGGATGAGAACTGTTTCAAGGTAAGCAGGATTGTTGGGCGAGAGGGTTGCTTTTTAGAAGGGGTGGGTGGGTTGGTCTTTTTCCTGCAAATGTGCAAAGATGCATTTAATACTCCCAAAGTCCGTTTATTTCATGCCGTCTGTAGAGATGCAACTTTCCGGGCTGCATCAATAAAAGAGATATCAAAGGTTTCCTGGGCAACTTTAACTGCAATGAGACTTGTCTCGAGCAATTACAGAGTGCCAGATTTTTGTGGAAACTTGCATGCTTCGTCAAGGTCCGGAGTTGGGTGGAAGGTGGGGTGATTTTGATCAATTTTTCTTTTCACCGGTGGAAATACGACTCAAGGTTGCTCGGATGATTTATGACTGGCAGAAGCTGGGAGAAATCTGCTGTTCCTCCTACTTTTGATGTGCCATTTTTCCTGGAAGCTTTGCCGTTTCCCCTTCCCAGTGAACCAACCCTCTTCTCTCCCCCCTCCCATCAATCTGAGCTTCTCACACACAAAAACGCTTCTCCTACAACTTTTCTCTTATTTATTTATTTATTTATTTATTTATTGATGAGACTTATATACCGCTTTAAGTGCAAGCACTCTCTAAGCGGGGTACACCAGTAAGCAATGTATATATATATTTACATTGCCCCCAACAATCTGGGTCCTCATTTTACCTACCTCAGAAGGATGGAAGGCTGAGTCAACCTTGAGCCGGTGAGATTTGAACCGCTACCTGCTGAACACAGTCAGCTAAAGTGGCCTGCAGTACTGCACTCTAACTGCTGCGCCACCTCTATTCTATTCTATTCCATTCCATTCCACTCCACTCCACTCCACTCAATATTTTCTTTTCTATTCTATTCTATTCTATTCCATTCCATTCCATTCCACTCCACTCCACTCCACTCCACTCAATATTTTCTTTTCTATTCTATTCTATTCTATTCTATTCTATTCTATTCTATTCCATTCCATTCCATTCCACTCCACTCCACTCCACTCAATATTTTCTTTTCTATTCTATTCTATTCTATTCTATTCCATTCCACTCCACTCCACTCCACTCCACTCAATATTTTCTATTCTATTCTATTCTATTCTATTCTATTCTATTTATTTATTTATGAGACTTATATACCGCTTTAAGTGCAAGCACTCTCTAAGCGGTGTACACCAGTAAGCAATGTGTGTATATATATATATATATATATATATTTACATTGCCCCCGACAATCTGGGTCCTCATTTTACCTACCCCGGAAGGATGGAAGGCTGAGTCAACCTTGAGCCGGTGAGATTTGAACCGCTGACCTGCTGAACACCGTCAGCTAAAGTGGCCTGCAGTACTGCACTCTAACTGCTGCGCCACCTCGGCTCTTGGCTTTATTAAGCTGACCATCTGTTCTTTACTTGTATTGTGGGTTATGACTTATGCCGAAATCCTTCAGGGTAAAATCTGCAACTGTCTCTTGAGGGAAGCTGCGTGCCAGCAATAAAATTCATGGCTGCTTGGGGCAATCCTGACTTCTGACTGCCTTTTCAAACCGAACCCTTGGCTAATCCGAAGCGTTGCCTGTTTTCGGAGTGCCCTGTCCAAAGCCAGCTTGTGATTCACATCACTGATTTGGGGGAGCCTGTTTTATTATTATTTTTTCAACGACCATTTGGCCAGCAATATTGAGTCTCTGTGTTTTGTTGGGTAGATGATGTTCGTTCAGAGCCGAGGCCACGTTCAGTTAACCATTGAACTGCTGGATACAGAAGAGGAGAACTCTGACGATCCTGTTGAGGCAGAGGTAAAAGTGGGCTGTGGTCAGTTAGCAGCTTTACACTGTTTTATGCCCAGTCAGAGCAAGTGTTTTTAAAAATGAAAAGCCCAACCCAACTGGGATGGCTTTAGGAGTCGGGAAGAAGAGCTACCGACTAGCCCCCAGAAGGAAAAGGGGCATGGGAAGCATTTCAGAAAGGATCTTCTCAAATTTTGTGCAAAGTAAAAACAAAGAAAGGGGGAAAATGCTTTCAGACTTGCGAGATTCTCTTCCTGTAACTTTGCAATAAAGGTGGTGTTAGAATTTCTCATACAGCAGAAAAGCTGTTTTTTCCCCTCCCCTTTAGGAGTTGACTAACCGTTCCCTTGGTTCCCTTTACAGCGTTGGACGGATTACGTGGATCGCTATGTCAACTCTGACTCCACATCTCCAGAACTGCGGGAACAGCTGGCCCAGAAGCCGGTGTTTCTGCCCAGGTGAGAGAACAGAGCCCGTCCTCCACCCGTACCGAAAGCATCCATGCGCTGTTTCGAGGCATGCTTTGCTTCTAGCCATTCTCCCTGCTCTGCTGGGCTGAGGAGGGAAGGGGGAAATGGTGGAGTCCGTGGTGTTTTTTGAGCGTGGCGGAAGGTTGTCCGGATTCCCAGGAGGGAGAGGCTGCAAGGAGGAAGAGCAAGGGATAACACAGTTTAGATACTTTGTGTCTGAGAAAGAGGGTGAAGACGGCTCCTCCTCAAGAGTTCCCAGAGACTAAGTTTTTTGGTGCAAAGATTCAGTTTGGCCAGATTTCTGTCTTGGGGTGAAGAATAATAAAGGAAACTGCTTAGAAGAACCTCAACATGTCTGTCTTGGTTTTGGGAACCTGAGCCCAAGCTTGGTAGTTCTCCCGCAGGCCTTTAGATAACCTCTTCGGCATTAACGAAACTTCTGCAGTAAAACTCCCAAGCTCAGAGAGCGCCAAGGATCCCACAGCTCAACCCTGAGCTACAGGGATTCTTTGCTTTCGTCGTGGGGGGCCAGTCGGTCGCTCGAGGGCTCAACGTGGCATCCACATGCTCCCAGGGATGGCCTCCCAGGTTCCGGACGGCTCTCTGTCTTCCATGAGCTGAGCCTTCCGCCCTTGACGCCCTCCAGCAGAAGAAGCAGAGGGGTGGGTTTTCAGGGAGGCCCTAATTCCAGCGGGGGCTCTCCGCTTCTCAGGAACCTGCGGCAGATCCGTAAGTGCCAGAGAGGTCGGGAGCAGCAGGAGAAGGATGGCAAAGAGGTGCTGGGCAAGAAGCCCCTGGAGAACGTAGAGAGTTTGGACAAGCTGGAGTGCAAGTTCAAGCTGAACTCCTACAAGATGGTCTACGTGATCAAGTCGGAGGATTACATGTACCGGAGGACTGCCCTGCTGCGCGCCCATCAGGTGGGCCCAGAAGGAGGAAGCCAGTGAGCCTGGTCCTCTGAGGGGGGGTGCACCTAGGGAGGGTGGTTGTTTGGGGGGGAGGCTGGAGGTGGGGAAGGACCATGGGATGGGGCTGCCACGCGTAGTGGTCAAGCCAAGCTACACACAAGAGCAGGGTGGGGGTGTCCACCGCTTGCCCTTTACTCTTCTCCCACATACCTTTTTTGGGGGAGGGGCTCCTTGGAATTTGAAGTCACACCGTTCCCATTTTAGGCCTCATGCAAGCGCTGCCCCACATTTTTTGTCTTAAAATGCAAGGTGGAGGGAGATGGATGGATGATAGATAGATAGATAGACAGACAGACAGACAGACAGAAGATCGTCCCTTTGGATGATCACCGTCAACCACACGATCAGAAAAAGCTTGTTCTGCCCCGGGTATCGCAGAGCGGGAATAGGGACACTCTCCCCAAGTTAGGATCTGGTCCACGCCTGACCGCTTGCAGCCCCGCGAGGGTATCCGTCTGGGGGGTATTTCTCCAAGATGGCCACCCTAACTCCCTCCCTCCCCCCGCAGTCCCACGAGCGAGTCAGCAAGAGGCTGCACCAGCGTTTCCAGGCCTGGGTGGATCGGTGGACGAAAGAGCACGTCACCCGCGAGATGGCGGCCGAGACCAGCCAGTGGCTCATGGGGGAAGCCCTGGAGGGCCTGCTGCCCTGCACCACCACCTGCGAGGCTGAGGACTTGCATTTTGTCAGCATCAACAAATACCGCGTGAAGTACAGCGCAACCTGTAAGACGCCCTAAACACCGGGAGGGGGGCAAAGAGGGAAACCGAAACGTGTTTGGCTGGAGGGGAGGGCGGGAGCGCAACCGCCTCCCCTCCCTTCCGTGGGAGAGCGTGCGGCGCAGGGCAAATAAAAGAGGGACAACTTCCTCTTTTCCCGCTTCCCCCTCCTCCACGCGGCTCCGCAACCCGCCACTTCCCGCAACTCTCTCCGACCGGAGACGTCCCCGGGCCTGTTTTCCCATCAGTCTTTTGGAACCGAAGCCGGTCCAGCAGCCAGAAGCGCTGACGTCGGGCCCGCCGCCACGGGAGGTCCGGGAGTCGCCCGAGGGAGACGCACCTGGCCTCTGTCCACCACCACCAGCAGCAGCCCTGATCCTTCGGGGGCTTGCAGTAGCTTGGCGAGACTTGGTGCGTGGCATATACGCCCCTCCCTTTCTGCTCCCCTCCCCGTCTCCCCACCCCGCCTGCTTCCCTCCCGAAAGACGCGAGGTTTAAAGCCAGAATCTTTGAAGGAGCGCCAGAAGTGCTGCGTCCCTCGTCTCCACGGGACTCAGCGGCAGACTTTTCGCCAAACTTTTTGCCACTTCCCGAGTTCTGCAGACCAAGCGGGGTGGGGGCGTCTGGGGGTCTGCCGTTTCGACTTTTCCTTCTCATCCATTGCGTTCCTGTGACTGGGACTCGTCTGACGTCCCTAAACCGATTTAAGATCAGTCTGTTCTTTCTAGTGCCAGTGGAACTATCGTTTTATTTGGGTTTTATTATTATTATTATTAAGATGATGATGATGATGATGACTATTATTATGTTTTGTACCTGCTTGTTTACTAGGCTCTTAGTGCCATGCACCAGCTGTCCACACAAACACACTCTTTCTCTCTGTCTCCCTCTCTTTCTCTCTCTCTCTCTCTCTCTCTCTCTCTCTCAAACACACACACACGCAGACACACACACACACAAATCTGCTCAATCACACATGCACGCTTTGACAATAGCAGCCACAACCAATTTTAAACCGGTTCTTTCTCCTCCGTTCCCCCTTCCTGGTTTTTTTTTTTTTTTTTGTAAATAAATGTATATATTTGTCAATTTTTTTTTAATTAAAAGAATAAGTGTGCTTAATGTGCTAGTACAACTCTTACTAGCCTTTTTTGAGTTACCAGATGGTTTCAGGGTTTATAGTATTATACAGGTGAGGGCGGCAAAGTCATTTTATTACACTTTCTACCAAAGGGAGTTTTCATTGTGATGCTTTGTGTGAAGGTTGTTTCTCCTTTTTTTTTTTTTTTTGTAAAAGTAAATGAAACCCACCCACCATCACCCCACAAAAATAATAATAAGTGAAAAACAAGGAGAAGGATCTTAGTTCTTCCTGGGAAAGAGAGACAGGGCTTGCCTACCGGGTCTTCCAGCCCAGCCAATTCACACTTCGGGGAAACTGAGGCTGGGCTCCCTTGCGGAGGACGATGGCGCTTTTTTGTGCAGCATTTGAGAAAATAAAATGCTGTAAGTAACAAGCCAGCATTTAACAGACTTGCATCCCTCTGCCCATCTGGGTGGAGACAGGTCCAGAAATATTTAAAGAGGCTGAGATGAAGGATAGGACTTCAGCTTTTGAGGTGGGTCTTCACAAAACTACCCTGGGAGCTTGTAAGCAGCCATAAGGTTGGTGGCTTTGTGCTTTTCAAAAAAGTGGGCTTCCCTGCACATGGGGTGTTGGTTTTTGTTTTTGCAAACACACGTGCACACACACACACGCACATACACACACATTCAGTCCAGCAGTCTCAGAACAGTCTTGTGATGGTCCAAGGCAAGGAGACGGAAAGGAGGGAAGACACTTGCAGGAATTCTCTCAACGCTACTGGAAAGGGGGGGGGGTGTGGAGTTGGTAGGGCAGGGAAGGGAAAACGCCCCAGGGAAGAAGACAACACAGCAACACAGCAGCAGCAGCAGCTCCTCTGAGCCAGAACCCAATAAGCAAAATCTTGAGTATGCCAGCAATAAACTAACCTCCCCCCATGCTCTCGCCCTCTGGCCTGTTAATAAGAGGTTGGGAAGGGGCTGGGGGGGGGGGATTGGCAGGGGTCATTGTGGTGTGCCCTGCTCAGCTTGTGTGCTTCTTCCCTTTGCTCCACTCTCAGAATCATCTCTGGAGCTTCTGTCCCTCCACTTCCTGGCGGGCTTTGCAAGCGAGAAGGTCATGGGCAAACAGCTTCTGCCCTGGTTTTCTTCCATGAATTTTGCCCAAGATTCTTCTTGAGCCAGGCAGAAAAATGGCGATTCCAGGTGTGGGAGGGGACAGAATCGCCTTCAACCGTACCAACCCCCCCGCAATCTTTCTCTAGTGGAGTTTCCCAATGTTGCTCTTCTCTCTTCCCCCCTCCCCTGTTCCCATCATCCTGGTGTCTGACGTCTAAGATGCAAGGTCCAATCCTGGCCTGTGCCATCAGCAACACAAGGTGTTCCTTCTGATTTTAAAATGGCTTTCGTATTCTATAATGTGCTTCTTCTTTTTCTTCCTCTTCCTTTCCTTTTCCCTCTTATCCTGATCCTTCCCCTTCTCTTCCTTTTTCTTCTCTTTCTTCTCTTTTCTTTGCCACCTAATTCATGTGATGATTTCTATACAGATGTTGTAAACTTGACTGTAGTGCAGTATGTCCATTAAACTATCAGGGCTACTTGTGTGCCAATGTGGGTTGTCCTTCCTGATCACTCCTGGTCAGCCACAAAGGATCAGGGCTGTCTTCACAGGTGGCACCTCCAAAGACACCTAGTCAGATCTCTTCATTCTGATGTGGCGTCTCTGGTGTGTGCAGAAGGTTGCATCAGCCCGGATTCCCCTCAAGGTTCAAAAGCTACGGTAGATTTTGCAAAGAATGGCGGAAGTGCTGGTTCAAGTTTTTCTGCTGCTGAGATAGAGGCTCACTTATTTCTTCAATTTGTTGATGTTGTTAGGGCTGTCCACCCCAACAGGTTCTGTTGTTTTTTTTCCCCGCCTCCAAACAGGTAGACACTTGGTAGACGGTGCCAGGCTCCAGGTCTAGAAGTCTAAACAGCCACCTAAGACCGTCCAAATCTCATAAAGCAGGGGTCTCCATCCTTGGCAACTTTACGACTTGTGGAGTTCAATTCCCAGAATTCCTCAGCCAGCATAGAATTCTGGGAGTTGAAGTCCATAAGTCGTAACGTTGCCACGGTTGGAGAGCCCTGTCATAAAGGAAGGAGAACCAGCCCAAGAAACGGTCCCAAGTGGTTTTCGTTTGCTCTTCTGGGAGCTATCCAGGGTCCTGCAGCTTCTACCTGATATTTTATTTCCCTGACCCAGCTGAGGGATTCTCCAGGATTCCTTCCTTAGATATCACAAACTTAAAACAGGCTATATTTTGTTGCAAGGAATTTTTTTTATAACACTGGTGTAGCTGTACCTAAATAGCTATATGCAGCCACACTCACGGCATAGCAAATCTGAGCTTGGTTGTAGATGTTAGGTAATACTTCAGTGGTGGGGTGCTGTTGATGCTGACCATCAGGCCCTGATGATGTTACCTAGTTGGGTCCTGAAATGTCTGCAAGCAAACAACCAGGGTCAGAGAGCACCAAGGACCCCCCCCCCCCCAGCACAACCCAAGCTTCAAACATTCTCTTCTGTTGGTGCGTAGCCCTTCATTTGCAGAATACCTTCAGATCCATGGCTTCCTTTGTTTTATGCTCACAACACGGGAGCAGTTGACCAATTTGGGGAGGTGCCATAAAGGTTATTCATATGGAGTGTGGATAAGATATATAAACCGGATGAGGACATTCAAGGTTTTTAAAGGAATGGAGTATGTCTAATCTAGAGAAAAGAAGGACTAGGGGGGTGACATGATAGCAGCCTTCCAGTTTTTGAGGAGCTGCCACAAAAAGGGGGGGGGGTTTCACCTATTCTCTGAAGCACCAGAAGGCAGGAGAAGAAGCAATGGATGGAAACTAATCAAGGAGAGAAGCAACCAGGAACTAAGAAATTTCCTAACAGTGAGAACGATTAACCAGTGGAATGGCTTGCCTTCAGAAGTTGTGGTGCTCCAATACTGGAGGTTTTAAAGAAGCGATTGGACAGCCATTTATTTATTTATTTATTTATTTATGAGACTTGTATACTGGCTTTAAGTGCAAGCACTCTAAGCGGTGTACACCAGTAAGCAATGTGTATGTATGTATGTATATATATATATGTATGTATATATATATATATGTATATGTATATATATGTATGTGTATATATATATGTATGTGTGTGTGTGTATATATATATATATATATATATATATATATATATATATATATATATATATACATACATACATACATACATACATACATACATACATACATACATACACACATTGCCCCCAACAATCTGGGTCATTTTACCTACCCCGGAAGGATGGAAGGCTGAGTCAACCTTGAGCCGGTGAGATTTGAACCGCTGACCTGCTGAACAGTCAGCTAAAGTGGCCTGCAGGACTGCACTCTAACTGCTGCGCCACCTCGGCTCTGAAATGGTATACACCAGTGGTTCTCAACCTTTCTAATGCCGTGACCCCATAATACAGTTCCCCATGTTTTGGTGACCCCCAAGTGGGTGTGGCCACCAATAAGAGGGAGTAGGACAGCTAGGGAAAAGGGAAAAAAATGGTGGACAGCGTGGTTTGGCGACCCCCGTGAAATGGTCATTCGACCCCAAATGGGGTCCCGACCCACAGGTTGAGAACCACTGGTATACAGTATCCTGCCTGAGCTGGGGGTTGGACTAAAAGACTCCCAAGGTCCCTTCCAATTCTGTTAAAGGGCATTTGAGAGTGCCTGTCAATGGACTTCAGATCCAGATACATTGAAAAGCCAGCGAGATGACAAATTCTCCTTAATTTTCTCTCGGTTTAGGTCATCAGTTGCGAGGAGTTTAATAAGGAGCTAGTGGACTTGTCAGCAGGGTGTGTGTGCGCCGAATGTCGATTGAGAGTTCATCCAATGTGAAAGCAGCAACTCCCATAAAACTCCGCGTGCTAACTCATGTGTGCACCAGACTCCATGTGAATCCAAGACCAATATTGTTTCGTTCGCCTTTTGATCAGAGTCTTTTTTTTTTACCCTCTTTGTTGATAGTTGAGTCCATTTGGAAATATTTTCCAAATCCTTCTGCAGATTGTTGTTGTTTCCCTTAAATACTGGCCTGGCAATTTTTATTTTTATATTTTCTTTTGAGCATGTGAAACAGTCATACAAAATCTGGCCCAGTGTCCTTATCTCTAATTAGGTCAGCTTCTGAATGGCAAGCTTGGGATGAACACACGCACATGCACACACAAAATATAATTGTTTAGTTCAAAGTATCCATAAAATTAACGCGGCCTGAATGAATTCAGACTTAATTTAACAGGCCACTGCTTCGGTTGTGAACATGTGCCACACCGTGGTGTTCCAAATTAGCCACGGAGGGCTTCCCTTTTCATTAAGGATTGGGGCTGAAGGCAGATGAAGCAGTTGGTTGTCCTAATGAGGAAATGTCACACAATTAAGGGAGCTGCACCCTCATTTCTGTTTGAAGGCCAGCTTTTTAAAAAAAAACATTAAAAGGAAAACATTCACTGAGTTTTCGTTCTGTGGCCAAGAGAGACCTTTGGGAACTTCTGATTCAAAAGAGCTTGGCGGTGGATAGGTTCCATAAAAATTAAATTGTTGATCAAATGTCTTTTTTTCCCCATGCAAATGTCTTTAAAAAGACACAGGATCTGGGGGGCCCATGCTCCCCCAAAGTCCCTGGCTTGGCACTACAGAGTTCCTAAAATAGTTTCCAACTTGAAAATGTCTACGTGGTGGAAGCAGATAATGGCGGAAAATAATGGCATTAATTAGATCGAAGGCAGCTTTTTGTTATGGCCTCTGATTTTCCGGAGTGTGATTCTCATCTGTTGCTCTCAGCTAAGTCTGTTTCTCAAACGGAAAAAGAGGAATCCTTTACTTGGACATTTGCACCTTAAGGAAATGCCACTAGAGCAGTGGTGGCGAACCTATGGCACACGTACCAGAGGCGGCACTCATAGTCCTCTCTGTGGGCACGCGTGCCATGCCTTGGAGATGGCGAGGGACTGGCCCCTGCTGCCCTGGCCCCGCCCATCCAGTCTGCCATGACCACTGTGGCCACGCCCATCCGGCACCCGGTGATAAATAAGTGGGTTTTGGGTTGCAATTTGGGCACTGGGTCTCTAAAAAGTTCGCCATCACTGCACTACAGCATTGAAAGTTAGGATAAATGTTTCCTTAAGTTGCTGGTTTTCTGTATTCAGGAACTTTTTGTATAAAAGACTGTTCTGCACTGATGGTTCTTTTGGGTCCTTGGTGTTCTCTAAGCTTTTCTTATTTCCAAAGTAGGTAACATCATCAGTGCTGGGAGGGAGGGGGTTTTCTCCTTTGTAGCTCTGATGATGTTACCTAGTTAGATATTGAAATGTCTACAAGAAAACAACCAAGAGCACCCTGAGCTACAAATATTCTCTTCCCGTTATTCTTTCTGGATTAAGTTCTACTTCCTCGTTTACAAAAATTAAATCTGGGGGCAGAACTAGTACAGTCATCTGAAAAACACACGGAGGGGCATGATTTGAAATGGGAAAGGTATAACCAAAACGACAACCCTGGGTTTTGTGGCTTGACCTGAAATACTCTCCAACTTTAGAGGCCATAATTAGGTAGTTGACTGTGATGTGGGCAGAGAACAACAACCCTTGTCTATGGGGACTGATTTCCACTAACACTTTACAGCAACAAATTCCTTAAGTTTAAACAGAAAGCAGCTTTGTGCAAAACACAGCACCAAGCAATTGCTGCTGGTTGGGAAAGCTGTTGTTGTTTTTTTAAATGAGGCTGAAACAACTAGGTAAGACGCCTATTGTAGTAAAGGTGTGAGTTTGGAGTTTCTACACCTCCCATTGTGTTGTTTTACTTGTCTTGGTGTGCCTTTATATGCAAAAGAAACATCAGTTTGCAAAGCATGCTGAACAAGAACCAAGATATTTTAATCACTGCTCGGATCATAACAAATGTGAAGCTATATAAATACCAGTGAGCAGCAGAGTAAATGAAAGGATTTTTTTTTTGTACCCACAAACACGCACGCACACATGCAAATTCTATAGGGACCTGGATTCGCAATCTAAGCAAAACGGGGGAGGGGGGAGAGAGACTCGAGATAGGGCTGGTGAGCTGGGATTTGAGACTGACATGTACGATCACGCCGGAACCAGCCCGTTAAAACAACACGCAAGGATGTTTACTCTGCAGGACTTTTCACAACATCTGCTGTTGATCCTCCACTTTTCCTGCAGAGGGAGGTTAGCCTTTTTTCACTCTCTTGTGTAAATCCTCGTGCATACAACGTCATCGGCACCAAAGGTCTGCAAAGAGAAGAGAAGGAGAACATGAAACCGGCAGAAGACTTTCTGACAGTCTCTCGTGGAGAAGACCACCGCAGTTGGGGAGCACCTTGCCGGCTGAGACTAGAAATCCAACCTCCACAGAAGGCACCAGTTTGGGGAGAAGCTGTTGACCCGCGTGGAGGCCTTTTACCTCAGTTCAAAAGAACTGAAGAAGCTTCCTGGATGAGAAGCAAAACGTCTTCAAAGAAGAACAAAGTCTCGTT